TCTCTTTATGAAAGACTTGATGAAAATAATCCGGGGGAGAATTGGTATTTTTAAAGTTCAGACCCGAACCTCTTGTCGTCAAGGCAAACCAGTTTACAGGACCAGCCAATGAAAGGCACGAAAATTTCAAGCATACAGGTTTTTTTCAAGCTACAACAGAAGTACCGACTACAGTTTGGGTGCGATACTGATACATACGGAAGAGACTATTTTACAATTTCAAAGCTGTGATTTCAACAGACGATATCGCTTACATTAAAACCTGCACTCAGGTCAATGAGAAGCATTGATTAAATATCTTTATTTAATGTATTCGAGTGTTTAGAAAAAGGGATGTTTGCTTGGTCAAATAACTGAAGGTATTGTGACCAGCTTTACGAAATTGTCTGTTTCTTCATATCTATTTCTTTTGAAGAATGAATTTCTTTCAAGACAATGGTAGAGGTGGAATTGCAGATGCATATGGCAAGGAAGTCTCGTCCGTCGTTGTAGATCATCATTCCTACCAGGAAACATGTTCTTTTGGGGCTGCAACCAAAAGGGGATCAAAGTGTTTGTCCATCATAGCATCTACACAGCATGCATCATTTTTCAGCGAGGATGTAAATTTCTTTAAAAAAAACCTGTTCTTGATAATAGAACTAGCGAAGAAGGAACATGTAATCCGGGTGGCCATTTCTCCAGAGAGTTAAGCACTCTTTCAGTGGTCCTTCAAGTGCCATCAGTATATTTAGAAGCCAGATCTCGTCTAATCCAGCCGAAGTTGTTAAAGTCCGTTCAATGCGGGAGAGCTGCTACTTGCTGGATGCATCGCACGAAAGATTTCGATTTGAAATTCGCTGCATGGATATGCGTATAATTCAGAGCCATCCAAGAAAGATGGGAAACATAGCATACACTTTCCGCTCTTATGAAATCCATTTCACTTCTTGTTTATGTGAAAATATCAATTACGATATGCTTTATGTCTTATACAGGATGTTTGTGGTATGTAGGTATATGACAAGGCATCATTGGCGTTGCCCCCTGAGATGACACGGCGAACGGAGAATCAGTGAATATTTGTTTGCCTTAGACTTTTAATTAGGAGCAATGTCCGAATACTTGGAGAAGTAAGAGCCATAAAAGACTTAACGAGAATTATCAAGGTCTTTGAAAACAGTGGAACATAAAAGTAGAAAGTAATATGTGATCATCTGGTTCATTAAAGGTACGACTATCGGGTGGCTCGTTGCATAATTGTTAACTTGCTCGTCGATATGGCAATTTTAAACCAGTTAGCGCTTCTACTGTCTTGACCAAGTGTCCTATGGTTGCGTTGCAGTATCCTTGTCCTGCGAAGCGGTTGCGAATGTTCTCCATATTTATTAGCTTGATCAGCTGTATTTTCCAATTTGAAGCGAGGGCAACAAACGAAGATGTTTAGGGCTTTTAGCCTGAATACAGCACGGCATCCTCCGTTCTTTTTGGAAATTACAAACATTCTGCTGTCAAACCCTGCGTATGCTGGAGCTGTGACCAATTCTAGCTATTTTTGACTAGTAGCTCAGCAATTCCTTGCTTAGGAATTGTCATTTTTCCATATAATAAAACTTAGAGAAAGAGTTCGATATTGTTGGTAGACATTGAACAGCATGTCGAGGAATGAATCCAATTACTGTCGGTCAAAACGAGCCCTGGCAGGATTGAAGCGATGAAGCAACCTACAATTTTTAAAACTCAGAGCAGAGCAATTTCCAAAAGTTGTCACATTAACAGTCACAAATTTTACTGAACAGCTTTTTTTTTTACAGAAGCTGCGTGTTCTCAAAGTCATGGTCGCTTGCACACCTGTAAGCTTAAGCGTCATGGATAGTGATATAGTAATGACTGAAGCCGTTGCAGCCGAGCAGAAGGTCTCTCTGTTTTCACCCCTTACCATGGATCTAAAGGTGGCCGTTGAAGCGTTGATAATCGTTTTGGAACGGTTATCTGACTCTCCGGACGACATGTCTATACTTCGAGCATTCGTTGTCGATCCGGAAAATGCCAACAAATCCCACTTATTAGATTGCGTCTCTCGACTCATGCTTCGTCAAGATCTTACCATGTTCATCATTCGAACGTTTAGACCTTTGTCTGTGGACTTAGTCGCACGCTGGCTAACCCCACGGTTCCTGGACTTTTTGGTGTCGAACGACAGCATTCACATTGTATATAGAATAGAATCAACAGCAAAGGCATTTAGTTTAATATTGCCAATTGCACCGCAGACCAAGAGGTATAGTTTTTTTTTTTTTTACCTATAGCGTAGTATTGCTCTTGGACTGTCGCATTAACCAATTTCAATGTTTGCAGTCTCGCAGTTACATTTTTCGCACAATCACCATCATTGTTTGAACGCCTTCATTACATAGACTCCCAGAAGACATTAGAGAACGTAAGTGAGCAAAAACACGCCGGCTTGTCTGAGTGCATCCAACTAACTTTTTTAATGATAGGAACTTGCTTCAAACAAGGCATTGGTAGATTTATTGTTGACTACGTACAGATTACTCAGCTATTCCACATCAACCTTTTCACCACTATGGAGCTGGAGTCCCCTATTTGCACTACTTTCATCATCATCAAGTACTGTACGATACCTCACGGTTTTATGTTTATCAAAAGTTTATGGCATCACGGATCAGATGACGGCACAAGCTTTGCGTGCTTTAACAGACTGCGGAGATGCACCCGTTGAAGAGTTTTTCGTAGAAGTTGAAGGTCAAAAGGTTGATCTAAGAACTTTTACGTAAGTATTGTCAACTCAGGTTTGGTAATCAAATGGGAATATAGGCAGTTTATTCACAAAGATTTTCATCATAGTATTTTGGAACAAGAGCGCCTCGCCAAGGCACAAATAAGCATGCTAGAGAACAGTTATTCTGCGCAAGATGATAATAGCTACCTTCAAGAAAGCGATTTATCGACACTTACCATTGATTTGTGTGGAGTCATTTTGCCCAAGCCTCAATCTCCTGTCAATGGCCAACTTAATGAGGCGAAGAAAGTGGATCCTCTAGTGTTGACCGGTACGACCGCAAAGAATTTGCATACAATTGGCCTGGCTCTATCCATTGGTGCACCGGTACTGTTGGAAGGTTTGACTGGTGCTGGTAAAACTGCACTAGTTGAAGAAGTAGCAAGAAAAGTGGGCCGACTTCAAGGTAAAGATGGATGTACTTTTGTGCTGATGGGAGGTATTTTTGTGCTAACCTTTGATTATTATTATTATTATTTTCAGAATTGGTCAAAATCCATTTGGGAGATCAAACGGATTCCAAAGTGTTGCTTGGAACATACGTTGCGACATCTACACCTGGCTCATTCAAATGGCAACCAGGAGTTCTCACCACCGCAGTGCGAGAAGGACGTTGGGTGCTTATTGAAGATATCGACCTCGCCCCATCTGAAGTCATCTCCATGCTCCTACCGCTACTAGAGACAAGACATCTATTCATTCCTTCACGTGGAGAGAAGTTAAAGGCGAAGGAAGGATTTCAATTGTTTGCAACTAGATCAATGTTGCCTTCGAAAGGCGGAAGAGTAGTTCGAAGAACTGGTGGAGCTGACAGTAGCATTGGCGCTAGCTTATGGACAAAGGTTCATGTTGAACCATTGACGAAATCCGAGCTTGACCTTGTTATTCGCAAGAAATTCCACAACTTGTCTTCTATTTCCAAAGATATCATGCAGGTCTTCCAGACCATCGTCGACATATACCAAGATCCAAACTTTTCATCTATTTCATCCTCCACCATGGGTCGATTTATTTCAACGCGCGACTTGATGAAATGGTGCTATCGCATTAATGTTCTCATTGGGGCTAAATCGAAAGAAAGTGGCTCTCAGCTTTTACCTGAACTAGGTATTGATGAGGCCGTTCGTCAGGATTTGTTCAGCGAAGCTATTGATTGTTTCTGCGGTATGATTTCTAACTACGAGAACTGGGTTGTCGTTCTGGAAAAAATTGGCGAAGTGCTCCAACTCTCACGAGAAATGGTCAACTTGTACATCGCCCAATATAAGCCCGCTCTGACGATTACCGAATCAACCATTAGCATCGGACGTGTCAACTTTGACAAATCATCAAAAGCAAAAGAACAGGGCAGTCTGGTGAAGCGAGAGCAAAAGCGACCATTTGCAACTACTTCCCACGCCCTTCGACTTCTGGAACGTATTGCTGTTTGTGTTCACCTGAATGAGCCTATATTGTTGGTTGGTGAAACCGGTACAGGCAAGACGACAGTTGTTCAGCACTTGGCCGACATGATGGATCAAAATCTTGTAGTAGTCAATTTGTCTCAACAATCCGATAGTTCCGATCTTTTGGGTGGCTTTAAGCCAGTTGATGGTAAAATCATTGCCATTCCTCTCAAGGAAGAGTTCGACAAGCTTTTTGAAAGGACATTTTCAGTCAAGAAGAACGCCAAATTTTTGGATATGGTACGCAAGACCTATATTCACAAGAAGTGGCCCAACTTTGCTGCCATGTTACGACAAGCTGTCAAAATGGCAGATGCTCGTTTCGAAGCTGAGCAAGATCAAAAGGAAGATGCTCAGAAAAAGAAGAAGGCTTCCAGTCCACAGTTGCGAAACGCTTGGAAGCAATTTACACTTCGTTTGTCAGAGTTTGAGGTTCAACAATCCCAGATGGAAAACAAGTTTGTGTTTAGCTTTTTGGAAGGATCGCTTGTCAAAGCCGTTCGTCGAGGTGATTGGATCTTACTTGATGAAATCAATTTAGCAACAACAGAAACTTTGGAGTGTCTGTCTGGTCTTTTACAAGATGCCTCCGGATCTTTGCTACTTACCGAGAAAGGTGATGCCGAGCCCATTAAGCGTCATCCCAATTTCCGAGTGTTTGCCTGCATGAACCCTGCTACTGATGTTGGCAAAAGGGATCTTCCACCGGGTCTTCGCAATCGATTCACTGAATTCTATGTCCACCCTCCGGATTCTCGTAGAGAAGATTTGCTTCAGATTGTTCGACAATATCTCAGCAATGTCATTGCTGGTGACGAGCGAGCTTGCGAAGATGTAGCAGACTTTTATCTGCAAGCTAAGAAGCTGGCAGCTGATCACAAATTGGTGGATGGTGCTAACCAGCGTCCCCATTTCAGTATGCGAACCCTTGCTCGTGCTCTCACTTACATCAATCAGATAACTTCGTCCTATGGATTGCGACGATCATTATACGAAGGTTTCTGCATGACATTCATGACTTCCTTGGATAAGGAGAGCACAGCGATTTTGCACGATTTGATATTCAAGACTCTGCTTCGTGGCATTAAAGATCCCTCTCATTTGATCACCCAGATACCAAAGCAACCCAATGGCGATTTTGTTCAATTTGGTTATTTCTGGCTTGAGAAGGGAGCACAAGGCGAAGAGGAGCCTACCAACTTTATTCTCACACCTTCGGTTGAGAGTAACCTCTACAACCTTGCAAGAGTGGTGATGTCCGGTAAATTTCCTGTCTTGATCCAAGGACCTACCTCCAGCGGTAAGACGAGCATGGTAGAATATGTCGCGAAGCGAACAGGACATCGATTTGTCCGTATCAACAACCACGAAAACACTGATCTACAAGAGTACCTTGGAACATACATATCAAACGCCGATGGCAAGCTGGTTTTCCAAGAAGGTGTTTTAGTCGAAGCTTTGCGAAAGGGTTACTGGATCGTCTTGGATGAACTTAACTTGGCTCCTTCTGATGTCCTCGAAGCACTTAACCGTCTGCTTGATGATAATCGTGAACTTTTGATTCCCGAGACGCAAGAGATCGTAAAGCCTCACCCGCAGTTCATGCTCTTTGCCACTCAAAACCCTGCTGGATTGTACGGTGGTCGTAAAGCATTGTCAAGAGCTTTCCGCAATCGTTTCCTTGAATTGTATTTTGATGATATACCCGAGGCTGAATTGGAAACTATCTTATCCAAGCGTTGTAGCATGGCTCCTTCATACTGCAAGAAGCTTGTTCAAGTTTATAAAGCCCTTATGGAACGAAGACAGAGTACGCGCATTTTTGAGCAAAAGCATGGTTTTATCACACTCCGTGATTTGTTCAGATGGGCTGGCCGCGATGCTGTAGGCTATCAAGAGCTGGCAGAACATGGATATATGCTACTTGCAGAGCGATGCCGAAAGCCAGAAGAAAAGCTCGTCGTGAAAGAGGTCTTGGAGAAGGTCATGAAGGTCACAATTGATGAAGCCAAGCTTTATGATTGTGAAGAACTAGAGGAGTTTGCTATCTATGATCAGATTCTCAAACAGAAGACTGGAGCTGGAAACAAGCTGGTCTGGACCAAGGCAATGCGTCGACTCTTTAGTCTGGTTGCACGTTGCATCCGTTTCAATGAACCTGTACTTCTGGTTGGTGAAACCGGATGTGGTAAAACCACTGTTTGCCAGATGCTCGCAGAAACCATGAACACAAATCTGTCCATCGTCAATTGTCATCAAAACACCGAAACTGCGGATCTACTAGGTGGACAACGGCCTGTACGAAATAAGAATTCTTCGGAATACGAACTCAAATCAGAGCTACTTCAGTTTATGGGCGATCGCACAGACTTGAACATGGAGTCCAGTATGGCAGACCTCATGGAAGAATTCAATACTATGGGTCTCTCAACCGACGATGATCAAGTTCGTGATCTACAGCAAAAGTGCAAGAAAGCTCGCACATTGTTTGAATGGCATGATGGCCCTCTCGTGCAAACTTTGAAGGATGGCGACTTCTTCCTCCTAGACGAAATCTCACTTGCTGATGATAGTGTTCTTGAGCGTTTGAACTCTGTTCTTGAACCTCACCGCTTGTTGGTGTTAGCTGAAAAGGGTGGAAAGAATGTTGAAGAGTTGTATGCTAAGGATGGTTTCCAATTCTTCGCAACTATGAACCCTGGCGGTGACTATGGTAAAAAGGAACTCTCACCAGCTCTTCGCAATCGTTTCACTGAAATATGGGTTCCTGCTGTTTCTGATAAGCAAGACTTGGTTCAAATCATCGACGAACAGCTTCAGCATGACTCACTCGCTGGATACGGAATCAAGATATTGGAATTCATCGATTGGTACTCTAATACTTTAGGGCAAACACGATTGGTCGTCAGTCTGCGTGACATTTTATCTTGGGTCAACTTTATGAACTCCTCTGTGAGTCAAGGTTTGGATGCTAATACATCCTTTGTCCATGGTGGTTGTTTGGTGCTTTTGGATGGTCTTGGTTCTCATGCCTCATCTGGGTCTCTCCTCTCTGGAAACACTCTACGTGACTTTAGACTCAAGTGCTTGCGCCATATGGCTGACATCAAAGGCAACAAGCTGCTATCAGAACGAGATATCATTGGTGAAAAGTCAAACGCCGTGGTTCTCACTGATGAGAAAATGGCCATAGGACCATTCCAAATACCTCGTGGAACTCATGGAAACGAGAAGATCAAGTTTACCTTGCTTGCACCAACTACCTCAGATAACGCAATGCGTGTTATTAGAGCTATGCAAGTCCGCAAACCCATCTTACTTGAGGGTAGTCCAGGTGTTGGAAAGACTAGTTTGGTATCAGCCTTAGCAGCGGCATCCGGCCATAAGCTTGTTCGTATCAATCTTTCTGAACAAACAGATTTGATGGACCTCTTTGGCTCAGATCTTCCAGTAGAAGGTGGAAATAGTGGAGAATTCGCTTGGAGAGATGCTCCTTTCCTACAGGCTATGAAATCTGGAGACTGGGTCCTGCTCGATGAATTGAATCTCGCTTCTCAATCTGTTTTGGAAGGTCTCAACTCTTGCTTGGATCACCGTGGTGCCGTGTATATTCCAGAATTGGATCGAGAGTTCTTCTGTGCCGCTCAATTCAGAGTTTTTGGTGCTCAAAATCCACTTCAGCAAGGTGGTGGCAGAAAGGGTCTACCCAAATCATTTGTCAACAGATTCACCCAAGTCTATGTTGAACAGCTTGATGCAAGTGATCTTCTTTTCATTTGCTCTCATCTTTTCCCAACTGTTGATCAAAGCATCATGGAGAAGATGATTCAATTCAACACTCTCATGTATAATGAGACAATGATTCATTGTTCGTTCGGACGAAGAGGTAGCCCGTGGGAATTCAACTTGCGTGATGTCTTCCGCTGGCTCGAGCTTATGCAAAAGACTGATAACCTAAGCCTTGGGCACGTTCCTGATCCGGCACAGTACTTGGAAGCTATCTATCTCCAACGATTGCGCACGGAGGATGATCGCATGCATGCAATTCGTTTGTACGAAAAGACTTTCAAGACCAAGTACAAGCGTACCACGCACCCATATTACCATATCAGCCCGTCTCATGTACAAATTGGCCATTCATTGCTTACTCGAAGGGCTGTTACGACCGGCGTTAACTCACTCGAACAAGAGCAACATTTGCTGCAATCATCACTTGCTCCTATGGAGACTTTGATGAAATGCGTTGAAATGAACTGGATGGCTATCATCAACGGACCTTCTTCGTCTGGAAAAACTACTTTGATTCGATTGTTGAGTAACCTCACCGGCAATGTATTAGAGGAGTTCGCCATGAACGGTGGTGTTGATACCATGGAGTTACTCGGTGGTTTCGAGCAAGTCGATCTTGCTCGCCACAGACAAGTTGCTCGCACGAGATTGCAAAAGCTGACTATCTCCGTTACCAAATCTTTATTGCATTCGCTCACAGTGAATGTAGATGATGTTAACAAACGCATGCATACCATCTCTCAAGTTCGACACCTCAACGACGCTTTCTACACCTTTGAACATCAGCACAGGATGAACGATATATCGACCAGTGCAGCTGAATCAAACTCTGAGAAATTCGACTATGTTCTCATAGAGCGCATACTTGAGCAGGTCATTGCTTGCAGTAACAATGATGCCGATATCATTGAAGCAGTCAACTCCATCCGTGTCAGTATTGAAGAGCTTCAAGCTCTTGAAGCATCATCTGTTTCTGGTCGTTTCGAATGGATTGACGGTGTCTTGATAAATGCACTGGAAAAGGGTCTTTGGCTTTTGATTGACAATGCCAATCTTTGTAACCCATCTGTCCTTGATCGACTGAATCCACTTTTCGAAAACGACGGCGTGCTTATGGTCAATGAACGAGGTTTGGTCAATGGAGAAGTAAAGGTCATCAAGCCACATCCAAACTTCCGCATGTTTATGACTGTCGATCCTCGCAATGGTGAACTCTCAAGAGCAATGCGTAACCGTGGCGTGGAAATTGCACTGGTTGATTCTAGCTGGATATCCAGTGAGCAGTCGGTGAAGAAGCTTGCCAATGCCCTTGGTGTTCGCGGCTCCAAGTTGCCTTTACTACTTCGTGACTTCCATCAGCATGTCATTGACAAGAACAAGTTTGCAAAGGATCTTAACTCTCGCGACTTATTGATGCTATGTGAATTTTTGTACGAACGATTGCAACGTGGTCAGAACTTCGCTATCGCCGCTCGTGAATCTTTGTCGCAGGTGTATCCACTCTTGGACATTGCGTCGGATGAGACTTTAGGTACTTTGCTTACCTTATTGGAAGCTATACCCGCTGATGCTGGAGATATCAAAAACCTGATAGCTCCTACTGCATGTCCTCATCTTATTAGCGGCTCATTCTTGAAGGATAATTCTGCATTTGCTACAGTCTCTCTTCAAGGGGCCGTCTTGTTCGCCATTTTGATCGATAACACTCGTTATTCAGACGAGCCTACTCTGATTGAGCGATCTCTTGAGACTGCTGCACAATATTTTATTGAAACCACATCTTTCCAAGACTATCAACTTCGTCTTCAATGGTTGCGACATGTAGCAACTCAGAATCCTGAACGAGCAGCTACTGCCGCAAGTGCTAAGGTGTCTCAGGCAATTACCACCATTATGTCTCACCCATTATCACAAGCAATGTTCGATCTACATGCACGCTTGTCGATTATACTCAATATACCAGCTGACTTTTTGAATGCTTTGGTAAGTGCTTGCTATTCGATAACGCACAACTTGACATCTTTCTAAACCATCTTCTTTTCATCGTAGCCTATGGATCTGAGCCAAAACCCACAGTTCTCAGAATCCCTTCATGCCATTATTGACAACCATGAAGCAAAAGAAGAACTGGAGGTCATTTGGAATCAAATCAAAAACAATGCCAAAGCACAACAGCTCTTGGCTCGACTTGTCGCCATGGAGTATGCTGATAATGAATTACGACGCAGTGCCGAAAAGCTCAAGATTGGTAGCTTGACAGTGTTGCAGCAATCATACTGCTTTGTGCAAGGTCGTCTAAACGAGAACCAACTTTCGCATCCTGTCATCCAATCTCTGTACACTACATTGGAGACAACCAAACAAACTGTTTTGAATTGGATCAACGAAGCTGGCTACTTGAGTGCACCGCAAGAGGTAAAATAGATTGACATTAGTCACTCATGAGCGTTATAATGTCAATGCTAATCTGTTTACTACTTTAGACCTTCGATCTCTTTACATCACTTTTGGATGATCGACAAAACCTAGTGTCATCGCTGCATAGTACAGAGCTTAACCTTGGTGACTTGATCATCTTACTCAAGATGTTCAAAAAGACAACATTGTCTTTGAATAAGATCACAGAAGCAAAGGTGGAGACACTTCTCGATCAACTGCAAGCCATGGTTGCTCATTTTGATCTTAACACTGGCAAGTCAATGAAGCTACTTTGGAACTATTTCCGCCCTACAACTTTGTCAGCCGAACGAGTGTTTGATGTGGAAAGGAGCATATACGAGCTGTCGACTGCCATTTCATACTTTTCGAGCGACAGGAGTGGTAAGTCATTCACTAGTATGATGGAAAATTGCCATGCTCTTTTGCTAATAGGTACATTTTAATACCACATAAAAGAATGTGATCCTAGTAATATCGCATTCCATACCAGCAACGAGTTGAAGAGCAATCTCATTGAAGGCGCAGCGACGCTCTATGTCGTTGATGAGGACAAAAGCAAGCACGCCATGCAACTCGCCCGATCACTTTCTTCAGTCCCAGAGCTCGTCAAATCTCAGCTAGAAGATCTAAGAAAGCATCTGGCTGTGGAAGCAAGAGTCTCGGCACCATCCATTTGGTCGCTTGCCTTGCTTCCCATCTTCGATCACTCCAGTGTCTTGAAGGAAATGGAATTGATTTCCCAGATCATGCATGCCCTCGCCGATTCAACATTGGATAAGGTGAGCAACTGTTTATATTGTATTGTCTTGCGTGAAATTGCCACTCATCGGTTTTTACTATACAGTCAAAGCTCGAGGAAATTCGAGAAAAGGCTACCATCATCAAAGACTTTGATATGAAGAACTCTTCAAGAGATGCTATGCATTTAGTTCCTTATCAACGACTTATTTGGCTTTTGGAGGGTATTGAAGGTTTGTTACTATCCTACTATTTGAAATCACCAAGGTTGTAGACTAAATATACATCAAATAATAGATGCCAATACCGAGAAAACTCGTCCATACATTGCTACTTTGCTGCGTGACATATCATCTAACTGGCACAGCAGATTATGGAGAAACAGTTACTTGAATGAAGGCGTCTTCAATCTTACAAACAATGAGACGGGCGCAAAGGTTGGTATTGGGATTTCCCTTTCAGTCATCAAGTCCTTCTTTTCATCACATATCTAACTTTATGATACAGATTCCACATGTAACTTCAGGCTCAAGCGCACTGTATCAGGCGGTTGAAACTTTGACTTGCTTGAACATCTCGTAAGTAACCATTACCGTCATTATAGGCATGGTGGCTTTCACTGACATGCTTCTTCTCTTAGTGTTTCTGTCAATCAGATGCCTGTAGATGGATTTGAGAACGCCTTGGATCAATTAAAACGCCTGAGATCTCATCTCGTTTCGAAATATGACACTGGTGACCGCTTCATTCTAGAACTCAATTTGGTCGTTCAAAACGCACATCAAGTAAGTCATCCTTGGACCAAACAAATTGTCATTCTCTTTCATTATCTTACTAACTTTAACGTCTTTCAGATGTTCGAAGCTCTCAGTCGCAAAATGGATGCAACCGTTGCAAACAAGTGCATCTCCATTTTCCGCTCTTTGGATACCACTTTATCTGAATTAGCCGCCAAAAACAGTACCAATACGCTCGCCGATGCTGTCATCTCTCAAGTCAGAGACGACGTTACAAACTTGATTGATGAAACATCAAGCCTGGAGCTCCCTGAGCTTTTTGTGCAAGCACTCAAGAGTATTTTGGAATGTTGCGATGGTCTTCAGTCGAAGGATGACGCCAAGTTTTTGCAAAGTATTGGCAAAAGTCGAGCCCAGCTTGCTGTTGCTTTCCTCCTCTCTTATATACCCAATTACCCATTGGATCCAACTGCAAAACCACGCATGAAGGTTCAGCTTTTACAACAGATGAGAGAGAATTTGGAGACCAGCATCGCCGTGCGTCGTGAGATCGAACAATGCTTCACGGGTAGCTCCACCAACGCTACTATTGAGAAGCAAATTGATCAAATGAATCGTATCGACAATACACTTGACTCATCGCTAGTTACCTTCTCACTTCGACCTGCTCAATCTCAGCTTGGTAGTATTTTTGTCGATCTGCATCATCTCAAAGAGAACATGATCATGAACCACGCCTCTGCATTGATGAGAGATTTGACTGCTCAACAAGAAGGAGAGACTCTATTGCATCGTGAACTATTGCTTCAAGACAATACCTTGCAATTTATTGACAGAGCCATTTCAAAGTACCCTATGTACCGCGACTTGTTGCAACCTTTGCTTGACGCCGTTCATGAACTCAAGTACGGTGTTCGCTTGATGGTCAACAGCAGAAGTGATAGCGAGGATGCCGAAAATGCTGTCCTTGAAAAGATCGTCTCCGCTTTAGCAAGATATCCCGCGATCAACGTTGGAAATGAAGACTTGGACTGGCACATGCTCGCAGAGCCTCAGAAGGTTGCTGTTGTCAAGCACATCATTTTCAGTCGTAAATCCATTGACAGGAAATGGGCATTCTATCTCCGTTATCTCATTGTTGTTCTCCAACGACTCGTAATGGACATTGGAAACCATGGTCATCTTCAAGCACATGATGTTGCTGCTATTGATAACATATACAGCGAGATCTCAAGAGTGTGGAAGGCATCTGAAGAGCATGCAAAGAAGCTGGCTCAAGAAGAAGAGCAGTTGTACAAGACCAGAGTCCGTAAGCACGATGGTGTTACGGATGAAGAGATCGATGAAGCAGATTTGAAACGCATGTTTGCTGATTTCTCAGAAGAATTCGACGATCTTATCGACGACGATATGAACGAAAATACGAAGAACCAAGCGGAGCCAGAAGTTGAAGAAGGCAATGTTTTGGATGATGACGACGTTTATCTCATTGGCAAACTCCATCTCAAGTTGTTCGACATGTATTCTTATGCAGATTATCAATCAGATAACTCGCTTCCGGTCAAGGATATCCGCAGTCGCTCATACAAGATGGCCGGCCTTCTATCCGCCTTGGCCACAGCACCTAGCAATTACAAACTTGACACGTCTGGTCGCGCTGGTCACCTGGTCAATGTTCAATATACTTTGGAGAGACTTGAGACTACTAGCGAAGCAACTACGAGCGTTGGTTCTGGCTCTATTTATGACTTTTACAAGAGCGAGAACATTGCTGAATCGAAGCGCATCTATCCACTCCTCAATGCTATGAAGATTCGCATTTTGGAACTTCTGGATCAATGGCCTGACCATGCTGTTCTGCAACAACTTGTGGTCATTATAGATCGCTTGGTTGGTTTCCCCATTGTGTCCCCAATTGCCAAACTTCTCACTGGTATTGAGCTTCTGCTTCAAAAATCAGAAGACTGGGAGGCATATGCCAGCAGGGATGTGTCTATCAAAGAACATCGTGATGCTATCATCTCACTTATTGTTCGTTGGCGTCAACTTGAATTGAACTGCTGGCCAAAACTACTTGCTGCACAAGAGCAATATAGTCAAGATGGTTCTTATAAATGGTGGTTCCACTTATATGACACTGTCATCAGCACGTCCATTCAAACCGGCTCCACTGAAGAAGACAAAGAAAACACCAAGAATTTGCTGAGTGTAATGGACCACTTCTTACAATCTTCGCCTATTGGCGAGTTCAAAACTCGTCTTAATATGGTCGATAGCTTCAGAAAGCACTTGAGTGTGGAATCTCACTTCACAGACGCCGCAGGTGGATCTGGTGCCAACTATGCAGCTCTTTCATCTCTTCTTTCCAATGTGTATGACTACTACTCTCAGTTCTCAGTGTCTGTTCAAGCTATGCTTGACAGATTACGCAAACCCATTGAAAAGGAATTGAAGGACTTTGTCAAGATCGCAAGTTGGAAGGACGTCAACATCTATGCTCTTCGCCAGAGTGCTCAAAAGACTCATAAGCAACTCCACAAGTGTATTCGTAAATACAAGGATGTTCTAATGCGTTCTACTTTGGATGTCATTGGAGTATACAACGAAGAAATTGCCATGTATCAGTATGGCGATGAGAAGAAGTATGGCGATGTCAACCTCGCTTTTGTCAACCAACTTGCTTCTGCTTCTGATAGCTGGCTCGTGAAATCTAAGTTCCCTACTGCTGGGCTTATCGAACAATCACCAGCCAAGGATCGCTTCAAGAACATGGATCGTACCTTCAACAGACTTCAAACCTTTTTCAAGTCTGATATCCTGCCTGTGGACCCTCTGCTTGCCAATCTTCCTCTTGAATCATTTTTGACCGAAGTCATTCAGCAGATCAAGACCTTCCAGAAGGAAACTCCCGCTGAATTGACTGATGAGAATAAGTCCCAGGTCAAGCTGCAAAAGGTGTTTAAGAAGAAGTCCCTTGGTGACTTTTTGAAGCAGTTGAGAAGACTTGGTTTGAAAATTCGTGTTCCTGTTTTGGCGGAACAAAATCAAGACAACACTTTGGTCTTCCGTCAAAGAAAGGCTCAACTCTCAATGGCGTTGCAAGACAGAGATTTGTTGGACTCCAGCCTCTCCTACGTTAGCTGGGCTGCTCCAGACTTGATCAAACTTTGGGACAAGGCTAATACCTATTACTTCAGCAGTGTTGCTCGTATTAGCCATTTGCGCAGCGTCAGCAAGGTTAATGTACACACCGATATCTCTTTGACCGAGGTCGAACGCAGTGTCAGCGCCACAGAGCATATGTTTGCATTCATTAGACAAGAGCGCGCAGCCCTATCTAGAGCTGAGTTATCCATGTCCCTGGTAGAAGGTATCACTGTTCAACTTGCCGCCGCATGCTCTCAGCATTATCCTTTGGAAGTACTGGAAAATTCAGAAAGATTGACGGTCAAGAAGATGGGTGCTGACAAGCTAGTGGATGTCATTAGCCAAACGATTGAACTGTTGTCTCTCCAATCCACCTATGGCTCCGGCAATACCATTGTTCAGATTGAACTAGGTCAATTATTGCAAGAAGCCAGAACCGTTCATAAGGACATCAATGAAATCTACAAGCGAGTCTACTTGTATCCTCGAAGCACTCATTCTGTTGACACCATCTTGATGTCATCTGATGTTCAAGCTAAGATTCAAGATGTGGACACCTATTTCAAGTCTCTGCAAAATCGTTTTATTGAGATTTCACAGGATACCCCAAGTGTATACCAAGTACTTCTTCCTATTGTTCAACATTTGGAAGAAGCCTCCAAGAATCAGTTCACTGTTGTTTCTACGGACGCTGCAGTTGACTTATCTTCTGTTCAAGATCAAGTCCATGGTGCCATCGATGCCATCCTGACTTCCATTCAAGATATGCGAAATCTCGCATCCAAGAGTGAATATGCTGAAGATGATCTGGAGTACGGTATGCCTGAAAACCATATTCGTGACCAACATGCTGCTCAAATCAACCGATTGAATGCTCTGCACTTGGACGTTCTCGGAAAGCGACTTATGGAACTTTTGAAGACGTTGTCATTGTATAACCAATCCGAAGCATCAGACCTCAGCTCTGCTTCCATTCTACTCCAGCAGTTGTATCCTTTCGTGCAACAACACATGTTGATCGTCCAGCGAACACTCTGCGAAGTATTGTTGCATCACAAGGCAATGGCCAAACTTACCTATGTCCTTATCAACTCATTCACTCTTATCATGAAGAAGGGCTTCTGCTTGCCTGAAGGCATGGCTGATGACGAAGAAGGCGATGGTATGGATGACAATGTCCAAGGTACTGGTGTTGGTGAAGGACAAGGCAACAAGGATGTCAGCGACCAAATTGAAGATGAAGAACAAGTACTTGGACTTCAAAATGAAGTTGAACCTGCCAAGGATGAAAAGAAAGACACCAAGGAGGAGAAGAACGGACTTGAAATGGAGAACGATTTCGAAGGCGACCTTGAAGACATTGAAGAAGACGACGACGATGAGAAGAAAGACGACGATGATGCTGAAGAGGATGACGAAGAAGAAATGGACGATCAAGTTGGAGATGTTGATGATCTCGATCCCGATGCTGTTGATGACAAGATGTGGGGAGATGACAGTGCTGAAGGATTGAATGAAAGCGACAAAACCGTTGATGAAGACAAGTCCAATGGTGAACAGCAAGACTCTGATATCGTTGCCAAGGAAGAGCCTGATTCAGCTGATGGTAAAGATCAAAAATCAGAGAAACAGCAAGATGACAAAGACGACGACAAGGACGAAGGAGATGGTAAAGAACCTGAAATTGACGAAGAAGGCGAAGAAGGTCAAGATGAAGGCCAGGATGAAGGTCAAGATAACAAGCCTGGTGAACAAATGAACGCTGAAATCCCTGAAGCTGAAACCTTGGATCTACCGGACGATCTCATGATGGACGGTGACGAAGGTGACGAACAAGACGGTGAAGACAAGGGTGAAGATTTCAACGACGCCATGGACCTTGATGATGATCATAAAGGAGAAGAAGAAGAGATGATGGATGAAGAAGGAGAAGCGTTCAAGGACAAGTTGAACGAAGCAGAACCAGAAGTCGAAGGCGAAGACATGCCTGAAGAACAAGCGGATGGAACTGCTCAAATGAAGGATGAAGAAAATGAGAAGGAGGCGGAAGACGACGAAGAGAATGAGCGAGAAAAAGAAGGCGAGAACGCAGGCGACCATCAAGAGGAAGCCGAAGGCGCTGGCAAGATTGAAGAAGATGAAGAAGAAGAGACGGGCCAAACTGGACCGGACCACGAAGCACCTGACGCTGATACAATCGCCGATAATCAGTTTGGTATACAAGGAAGTAGTGGTAAAGCAAGCTCAAGTGCTGCCGGACAGCAAGAAGGCGAAGACGAAGAAGCAGAAGAGTCAGCAAGCAAGGAACAACCTCAAAGCAAGAGCAAAGACAAGCAAGGAAAGTCTGAACACGGAAAGGACGAAGCTAGCAATGTAGATGAATCCAGCAATGAGCCTAAGGCTGAAGAAGATAAGGATTCTGATCCTAGCAAACCCAACCCTCAACGTAGCCTTGGCGATGCTCTTGAAAACTGGAAACGCCGCTTGGCTGATGTTATAGATGCTGAAGACGATGAGGAAGAAGGAGAATCTGACGAAAAGAAACCAGAAGAATCAGATGACATCGAAGTGCAAGATAACCATGCCTTTGAATATATCAAGAATGACGAAGATGCTCATGATATGCAAACAATGGGATCAGCGGCTCAAGACCAACTCAAGCAAATGGACCTTGGTGCTATGGATGAGACTGTTCCTGAAAGTGAAGATCAAGTCGCTGGTGAAATGGATATGGATGATATGGACGAGGAAGCACCTATCGAGCAACTGGACCACTATCCTATCGACAAAGACAAGACTGATAACGCCAAGGGAGCTATTCTCAATAAGAGAAACCCTCAAGATTCCAAGATTCCAGACGAAAGCGATATTTTGACTACCGATGGATCCGTGGTCGCGCATGAACCATTGGATGAACAAGATATCGAACAATTGCGAGAAGAGTTAGAGAACAAGGTGTCGCAATGGAGAGATCAAGGTCGTGACGAACAGACTTCCCGTGAACTCTGGCAACAGTACGAAAACATCACCCATGATCTTGCTCTTGGGCTTTGTGAACAATTGCGTCTTATTTTGGAACCAACGTTGGCCACCAAACTCAAGGGTGACTACCGTACTGGCAAGCGTCTCAATATGAAGAAGATCATTCCTTATATTGCCAGTCAGTTCAAGAAGGATAAAATCTGGCTTCGACGCACTAAACCTAGCAAACGACAATATCAAGTCATGATCTCTGTTGATGATTCCAAGTCTATGTCTGAATCTCACTCTGTTCAACTTGCCTACGAAACTCTTGCTCTCATTTCAAAGGCTTTGTCTCAGTTGGAAGTGGGTGATATCGCCATCACTTCTTTTGGTGAACGAATTCAATTGTTACATCCATTCGACCAACCTTTCACAGACGAGTCTGGTGCTTCGGTTTTGCGACAATTTACTTTTGGTCAAGATAAGACCTATGTCAAGAAACTAGTTGAATCATCTATCGCTTTGCTTGAAAATGCAAAGAACAACCATTCTGGTAACGGAGATTTGTGGCAGCTGCAGCTCATTATCTCTGACGGTATATGTGAAGACCATGAAGCACTCAAGGCACTTGTTCGTGAAGCTGCTGAACACCAAATTATGATTATCTTCATTGTCGTGGATAACAAGCCTGAAAAGGATTCTATCCTGAATACGACCAACGTCAAGTACTCCATGGTCAACGGCAAGATGTCATTACAAATGACTCCTTATCTAGAGAGTTTCCCATTCCAATACTTCTTGATTCTCCGTGATATCAATGCTCTTCCTGAGGTTCTTTCTGATGCTTTGCGTCAGTACTTTAGCTTTGTAACTGCATAGAACCACCACTTTTTTTTGTAAATTATCATAACCAACATAGACATAAATATTTCAGTACACTTATTTCTCGGTCTGTGATTGGCTCAGTGCATTTTGCTTGCTTTGGCAGTCGCCTTAAGGGTGAGTGAAGGCCAAACTGTGAAGCTTGCCAATTGCTCTTTGCTGTAAACCTGGACATTTTGATATTGGCATGACTAACTTGTCGGAAACGAGGTAAAGCATTCTGTAATTACACCATGTTCGGACTGGACAGTGCAAAGCTGACATGGGTTCCTGCGTGTGAAATGATATGCGACAGGAAAGCCTGGGACGTCATATTCAATGATCCAAACTTGACCGAGGCGTCACTTCGACAAAGGGCGATCTCGGGGAAGGTGTGCAAAAACGGACTACGTTCTGTTTGCTGGAGAGTGAGTTGTTTTTCTTTGGTTTTTCAACACCCACCCATCCTATGCTTGCTGACTTCCCCCCTTTAGATTTATTTGAAAGCTATTCCTACGCTTGACCTATCTAAATGGCCAGAGATCTTATTAAAAAGTCGACAAAAGTACTCTGAGCTACATCGAACTCTGATTGATATACCCCAAGAACAAATTGCCGCTTCGAAAAAGGGTAGTATTGTACCTACCGATGCCACGAACGACAATCCACTGGGTTTAAATGACGATGTAAGTCAAGCGTTCAGGGTCATATGAACGTGTAGTTGGTTCTAACCATGATATAGAATCCCTGGCAGCAACATTTTGCTGATGCCGAAGTACGAAAAATCATTCGGCAAGACGTTGAGCGAACGTGAGTTGGATCATATTTATGGCTATTGGGCAAAGTTGAGGGGCATGTGGTGATCTGATGTCATCTTGCTTATAGGTTTCCAGACGTCGAATTCTTCAGAGACGATGCTGTCCAAAATCAAATGACAGATGTATTATTCATTTATTGCAAACTGAACGCTGATGTGTCCTACCGACAAGGCATGCACGAATTGCTTGCTCCTATATTCCTAGTTTTGAATACAGAAGGAGTTGACATAGGCGACGGATCATTAGTTGGCCCTGCGGAGTAAGTCGCCTGTACATGCTAATGTGTCGTTTGCTTGTAGACTCACCCCCAGAACTTTAGCTCCAGTACAAAGCTTATGGCACAAGTTCTAGATAAAAAGTTCTTAGAGCACGATTCTTATGCACTTTTTGACCGACTGATGTCCGGTGCCAAGAAGTGGTACGAATTCAACGACGAAGTGTCGACTAGACTAACACCGGCCAAGAAGAAAGAACTAGATCTTATTGACCCAATGGGCCTTGGAGGCACTGAGAAGACCGTTCCGGTACAGTGACTCTCATTACTACAATCTTTTCCAGCTGATGCCAATCTTCTGCTAATTGACATTCTATTTCAAGGCTGCTCAGCTCACTCCGATAGTGAAGAGCTGTCGTCGTATTCAGCACCAGCTGCTAAGAAGTACCGACCCTGCGCTGTATCAACATTTGGAATCACTGGGCATAGAACCTCAGTTATATGGCATGCAAGTATCTTAAGACAGTAAGGATAGGGTGTGACGACGTACTAACTTCCCTCTTTCTGCAGTCGCTGGATAAGATTATTATTTGGCAGAGAGTTCTCTATCGAAAATGTGTTGGAGTTGTGGGACGCAATATTTGCTGAAGATCCGTCATTGAACATTGTGGAATACATTTGCCTTGTACTTTTGATTCGCATACGAGATAAGAGTAAGTAGCTATTTGAGATTTTGTGTGGACTAGCATATGAGAAAGTCATTTATTAATTCTGTGATAGTGATGGATGGAGAATACGCCGAGTGCTTAACACTGCTCATGCGGTACCCGCCCATCAAAGAACCTGTCACTTGCGTGGAACAAGCCAAATACCTGCGCCAGAATTTGACTGAGGAGGCGTGCCTTCAGATTTTGCGCCAAAACGACGTCAAGGCGGGAAAGCCTCCAAGGGAAAGCATTGGTCTTGAGCGACCAAATGATCCACGACAGAGGCGTGCAAACCAGGCGGGTCGTAGTGGACCGCCTTCGGAAGGTATCTCGAAGTTGACAAAGGATATGATGCAGAATCCCCAAATTAGAGAGATCAACCGTGCTCTTGTAGGGGTTATGGGAGCTGTTCAGGTAATGAGGCATGGCCATCTGTGTATAAACTCTGGTTCCAGCCACTAATACGTTGTATTCGACATAGAAAAACATGAATACGTTCGGCGAAAATGTTTTGGGAAGATCTGGCCCCGATATGAATAATGCTGCTGCCAGGCCAGTCATTCCAACAAGATCAAACTTCCCTGACGCTGTGGATCGTTTGACCGACGCACCTCAATATAACCCATACCAAACATCCAATCAACCGACTCCCCAGCCGCCTAAACCCACTCCTGCAAAGCCTCCCATGGCGCACCGAGTCAACAAACCCCTTCCTAGCAACACTCAATACAATGACTTGGTTGATAATTTGCACGAAGTTAACTCAGAAATGGGTCAGTTATTGGCGAAATGCGTCAATGTGCTTGAACGAGAACTATTCCCAGATATTGATGACGAGGAGAAAGCTGGCGAAGGTGAATCACAAGAAGGTCAGAAACAGCCTAGTGGGGCCATTAGGGAAGAAGCATCGGTTATTATGGCTTTGGTGGGGATTAAGCACGTTCGCGACGTCCTACTTGGCAAGCAAAGAGAGTTGGATCTTTCGGTTGCCAACCAGATTGCGCAAATGAATATCAATCAGTCAAGTCATAGCGAGGTTGAAGAAGCGCCACCATCTAACACGGCTGATGCTACTAGCGAAGAAGTCGTCAAACAGATGGACACGGAACAAATCAAGGGCGAACCCAAACAGCCATCATCCGCTCAACCTGTGGTTAAATCTGAGCCGCCTGTCAGCAAACAGCCGCCGCCCTTCAAGGCGCTCAGCTCCACGTATGTCTCCCCCAACCCTCTTCCTCCCAAACCCAATGTTTCCTACAACATTGAGGACCTCCTCTCCGACACGTTGAAAGACGGAGGATCATCGACGCGGGTTAACAACAAGGATAAATTTAGTTGGATGATGGAATCCAGTCCAGCAGGCAAAAAGCTTGGTTCGAGTAGTTCTTTATTCTCCTCCTCAGCATCTCGATCGGCGGCCAAGCGCTCAGGCAATCGATCGCCAGCAGCCACAAGTGCTGTGTCTGTTGATCCTTTGGATGCGCGGCACGCAGATAGACGGAAGGTTTATGATGAATAAAATGGGAGCATTATTATAAAATATTTGTTTTGGTTTATTGCTTTCGGATTTTTCTTTGGTTCCTTCTTAAAAAGTTATAATCCTTATTATGAATAAGCAAGGTGCCCGGATGTGACATGGAAACAAAGAAAGGGGAAAGAAATAGAAGAGAAAACTGTATATGGTTTTGAGAGTGCCTGTTTTACGAGATTTTTGTGAAGAAGCTTTATAAAAAAAAAAAAGTAGAAAGAAAAATGAAAGAAAAAGAAAGAAAGAACACCACGGTTACGGTCATGCTGTAGTTGCTTCAGGTGATGGGGTAACTTCTCCTGCTTCAGGTTCACTCAACTCAGCAGCATCGTCTTTGCTAGGTTCAGCGGCATCGGTTTCGCCTTCTTCTTTCTCTGGATCCGCTTCACCGTCTTCAGCACCATCGGGTTGTTCGCTGGGGGGCGGTGAGGAAGGTTTTGCTTCGACAACATGATCTTCTTGGGGGGAGTCTTCCACCGGCGGTTGATCCGTCACGGCCGACTCTGGCGCTGATGCTTCTTCCATGGACGCATCCTCGGGTTCATCTTCATCCTCTGGTTGTTGAGCTTCTTCCGCTGCAGTAGGAGCTTCGGGCTGCTGCTCAGCAACAACCGAAGGTTTTTCTACTTCGGACACAACCTGAGTTTTTTCAGGTTCTCGCTGTGCTTCGTCTTGAGCCGCGGCGGGCTTTTCATCTTCTGGTTCAGCCGGTTTAGGTCGCTTGCTATCGCTATCAACATTAGCAACTTCCTCATGACGATCCAAGGATCGCTTTCGACCACCTCCCGTTTGCGCCATACTCATCAATGTATCAGCCGCCGTTTCGTCATAATCTTCATCGACTTCTCGACTAGAAGGCCTTTCATCCACTGGTACCTTCTTTTCCACTGGGGTGGCGTGGTTTTCAGGTGAACGACGGAAACCACCGCCACTTCGTGCTTCATCTTCTTGCTTAACTGTCGCGGGTGAACCACGTTGTTCCACAGGATGGAATCCATTGTTCTCTGGAGTGTAGGGTGTAGAATGACTGCTCTTGGGTTGTACCCGATGGAAAATGCCTTCGTGTTCATAGGGATCGGAAGATCTTCGAGAATTGTTCATCATTTGCTCATGATGCATATGGTGGTGATCCGGTGCTGCTGTAGTAGCATGATGTTGACGCGGTGAGCTGTAGTGGCTGGTATGTGGAGATGGACCTCGTGATGGTGGACGGGCCAATGCACCAGGTGGGGTGATGCGACTACTTTCTACCGATACGCCTTGATGAGGAGGAATGGGGGATCTCATATCGTCACGACCCTTGGTGGAATGGGGTGGACGTTTTGGTAAAGGCGATGGTGCAGAATGAGGATGGGGTGGCATACGGCTACTGTTTGGACCGTCATGAATAGGATTCATTTGAGTACGTTCCGATGGCGTAGGCGCACGACCTCCACCGATATCAGCGATACGAACATCATCGCGAGGTGAAGAAGACGGATGTTGACCATAAGGACCAGGTGATGAACGACGACCACCACCAGGCATGGGTAAATCTCTTGGAGGTCCGCCAGCGGATTCGTGAGGAGGAAACTCATGCATGGGAGGACCTCCACGATTATCTCCGCCTCTTGGTTGGTTGGCAATGGAAGGATATTGTGCCATACCAGCCGGGGGACCTTGTGGGCCTTGGGATTGAGAGAATGCATTGCCATTCAAAGGCTGGCCGTTTTGGTATTGATTGGGATTATTGACGTCTTGTGGGACAGGAGCCGCAGTGGCTCCACCGGCAGAAGATCCTTGCGATTTACGCAAGAGTTCCAGACGTTGTTTAATGTGAGGGTTGGATGGGTCAAGATCGGCAGCTCGTTGGTACGCATCCAGCGCGTCTTGAACCTGATTATTGCATGACTCATACAACGTTCCCAAATCGTACCACACCTCGCTAATGTATGGGTTAAGACGAATAGCACGGCTATAGGCATCCAACGCATCACGGTACTGTAAAAAGGGCGATCGATTAGACAGAGGTCAATTCCTTCGTTTCTTTCGTAGAGCGAACCCTTACCTGATTTATCTGATAATACAAAACACCAATAGAGCACCAAAAGGTGGGATTTCGCGCGTCACGATAAACGGCTTGTTGATAAGCTTCATAAGCTTTGTTGTAGTTTTGTTCAGCCATATAGCATCGTCCCAAAAGGTACCAAGACTGTGCATCGTTGCCATCCGATTTAAGAGATCGAGTCAAGTACTGAATGGCCATGGCTTGGTTGGCGAACGACGCGTTTTGTTGATGATATAACCAGCCTAATTGCTGCAGGACTTTGGCGTGCTCTGGATTTTCAGCCAAAACTCGTTCATAGGCGTCTTTAGCGGATTGATACTATAAGGCCAAGAAAAAAAAAATGCATTACTATCCATGCTATTATAACCCGACGTCAACCCAGCGGTGGGGGGGGGGTCCTCACCTCCTTTTGTTGTTCATAAACATGTCCAGTCTGGAACCAAATATCGATCTCGGTCAAAGGTCGTGGTGGTGAGTGCAGAATATAACGGAAACACTGAAGCAAAAACCATCAGTACGAGAGATGGGGGTGGGGTTTCAACGGGCATTTTTTTTTACCTGAAGACTAAGATCATATTTTTGCTGTTGCTTATAAATGATACCCAAGCGGAAATAAATTTCATTGGCCTTCTCAAACTTGGGTTCCATTTTCATGACAGCTGAAAATGCCTCTTCGGCATGTTCTAAAGAACCATATCGATCATAGAGGATACCAATTCCATACCATAGTTTAGGGTCCTATGTTGAAAAAAAGCGTCAATACAGGAGACGTCATAAAACAAAAGTGGAATCAAATCCCTTACCCGAGGATTAGGCAAATGATACAACGCTTGCTGATAAGCGTGGTAGGCTTCTTGCAGTTGGTCCATCATCAAATAACAATGGCCCAAAGCACCCCAAATTTCGCCATTGTTCTCTTGAATCGATAAGATTCGTTTAAAATATTCGACAGCCTATACAGAACGAGGGATCAGCTTGGTCGGATTAACATTTCCTCCTAAACATCAAACGAAGAAACTCACCTTTTGAAAGTGTTCGCGACCTCTACAAAGCGATGCAATTTGAGACAATGCTTGTATGGAGTAAGGATTATGTCTGAGAGCCTGTTCATAACAGTTGCTGGCTCTATCATAGTCGGTCATGAGTTCGGCCAAAGCACCTAGAGACATGGCATTAGATGGAATGGAATGAGGAGTCGGGTTTTTCTGGCGTGTGACTTACCCATGGAGAGCCAGGTTTGTTCATTCACGGCAGCCAATTTTTGAACGGCCGTCATGTGAGGTGGTTGACCAACCTGAGCTGACATGGTGGAATGATTGGGTTGAGATGACAGATGGAACAGAGAGATGCTGCAAATTCAGGGATTTGGCAGGAAGAAAGAAATATAAGCAAAAAGGAAAAAAAAATTCTAAGGCGCCAGGGGAGAAAGTCGGAAAGGCCCAGCGTAGCGTTGGCCAGATGAAGATGAGATAAAAATAAAAGTGGGTTCAAAGCAGATGTCGGCAATCCAAGAAGAAATCTTCAACGATGCTCAAAATGAAGCTGTTAACAACCGTGAAACCCAATGCTCGATGCAATGGAAAAGAGAAAAATAAATAACGACGACGTTCTTTGAACAAAGCCATTATCTTGTCTGAACTGTGTTACGTCACAGATGGGGGGCCTGGACGTTAACATGCATACGAAATCTTTTGTCTCCAAACATCTCAGTTCATTTTATTCAGTCTCTGCCCTTTGACCACCGTGAGCTATCGGCTATTGACCTTCCTTTGCCTCTAGCCTTCCAACAAGTCAATCGCTGCTGGTCTCGTGGATGATACCATGGCCCCCAAGACCTTCTTTCGGAGCTAGCCTGTTTAAGTTCAAGTCTACGTGACACAGGTGAGCCATTTTTAGCTACGACACGTCCCGCTTTGCTTGGCCATCGGTAAGTTTTCCTAACGCCTTGGCTGCTTTGTAGCCTTCATCCACGGCGATCGACTCGGCGTGTTCAGCACCGGAGAGCACAGAGAGTGGGTTGAGAGCCTGGGTCGTGGCCAGAAGCAGGGTGATAACGAAGAGTAGCTTCATGAAAGCTTACCGTTCAAAGGAGCCCGTGGACATTTATAGCATCCCTTCCAAACTCCTTTTTGCATCATCCTGCGGCGCTTTTTACAGAAGACTGCGCCCGAAAATCATAACAATAAAAAAAAAAACTTACTGTAATGTGCGTAAGACAAACCGCCACACCCATCGGAGTCAGCGGTTGAGGCGATCGTGGCGCCATTGTGGCTCGTCTCGTGATACAATGGAATTTTGTCCAATGGCTGCCCAGGGTTGAAGAAGACGTTCCCAGGGTTGCATGAAAAATCATATGACAGTCGTTGAAATTGGAATAAAGCACTGGCTCTTTAGCATGGTAGGTTGCCGCTATGAAGCAAAATACATATATTGTCCAGCGGATGAATCTTTAGGGTTCGCGCTTGACTGATCTCAGATGGGTGCAACTCAAGAAACTACCACGCTGTGATACACAAAGATGATATGGGAACCTTTTTTTTTTTTTTTTTCGCTAACGATGTCCGCTTTTTCCAAAGATATCAAGTGAACGCAAAACAGGACGGAACATCTGAAACCTTTGACAAGGGTATGCTCGTACATGCCTTCGTCTTCTTTACAAAAAAGGCTTGCCCTCCCAAGCCACTACAGGCAATTTTGTGTCAATAATGTAGGTTTTATCGTTTTGGATCATGCGCCCCGGGGTGAACGGATATTCCGTGAATGACTTGCTTAATACATGAAACAAACACGTCAAGTTACGAAGCAGAGAAAAGTATAAAGAAGTGATGGAAAGACCGGTTACAACGGCACTATAGCGTAACCATGGTTAGTACCGTGGGCTGTAACACGGGGGCGGTCTCCTGCAGTATTGCCCTGCAGCTCCCGAACCACGACACCGTTAGGAAAACCAATGGCTCCTAGCACCCCTAGCTGGCATGTTTGTTTGAGCAGATCACATCGGACCTTCAACGTCTCCTGAGCCTTTACGCCCACGTGATGAATTATTTTTACTGGGCTCGCCAGACTGTGCCTTCCATTCACTGCTGGATCAGAATGAAGTAAGTCTACACTGCCTATTGAATCCCCCTTTATGTCCTATAGTATTAACTCCTTTTGCTACCCAGCGTTGTAAAGGAGATTCAAAGGATCAATGAACGAGAAGCTGATCGCGGTTATTCAGAATCCAGCTCGTGGCATGCTCAATACAAAGACAGTGCGTATGTCTTTGTGGGTGGATTAGCCTACGATCTCACTGAAGGCGACGTCATTTGCATATTCTCGCAGTGAGTGTAAATACTTTTTCTAGTCGAGACTACGATTCTCTGTTATTCACCTCTTTGTTCACTAGGTTTGGCGAAGTGATGAATCTCGATATGCCTCGAGATAAACAAACTGGTAAAACCCGAGGCTTTGCATTCTTACAATATGAGGATCAGCGTAGTACCGTACTAGCGGTCGACAATCTCAATGGGTCTAAAGTCCTTGGACGAGTACTGCGAGTGGACCATGCCCAAAAGCCTAAACCCAAGAAGGATGAAGAAGGCAATTTGCCTGATGAACCTAGTCTGAATGCTGCACCACCACTATTAGGTAAGAATGGCTAGGTTTAGACTGAGTGGAATGTTATCCTCGTCGCAGGCTTTACCGAAACATCTTACTAAATCTCCTCCCCGCTATATCAGATGCTTCAAGCTCGGATGAATCGGAAGACGATGGTATCGATGAAGAGGATCCGATGGCTGCCTATCTGCGGAAAAAGGAAAAGAAGAGAAAGAAGAAGGAGTCGAAATCAAAGAAAAAGGCAAAGAAGGAAGACAAGAAAAGAGATCGACCAGCTCACAAAGAAGATCCAATGGAAGACATACAGCGTGATCAAGATGCTAAACCGTCCACAGCAGTCGACAAGTCTGAAAGACGAGAGCGACCCAGTCGGTACTCTCCTCCCCAAGAGCGTCGAAGAGACGATAGTCGTGACCGCTACCGACGTCGGTCCCCATCTCGTGATCGTTACCGTTCCAGAACACGTAGTCGTAGTCCTGATCGCTATAGAAGATATCGTCGAGATAGTCGCAGCCGTTCTCCTCCACGGCGACGGTAGTATATATTTATACCAAAATTGAGAGGTTTACTTTGTCAATGTAGATAATAATAAGATTTGGAAAAAAAAAAAAAAAAGAATGAGGATGCAAAAACATGATAATTTTTTTTATATACAGCTCTTAGACATGTAGAATAAACGAGGACGTAATAGGGAAATGTAAGTTTAGGGGAGATGTCTATTCAACGATCAAATCCTTGACATGCCAGTCTTCGTAGCTGTTATCGGGCAAGAAACGTCTGACAATCAAAGGAATTTTCTTCTCTCTAAGCTCCTTCATTGCAATGACCAAAGGGTCTGATTCACCGTTAAGCTCGATCATGACGGGGGCATTAAGACTATAAGACGGGGTTTAGTATTTGGAATAGAGCTAAGAATCATGGTTTGCCGACATGTACCTGATTTGCAAGGCTCTCGTTCCTAGCACTCGTGCTCGCTCATACTTTGTCATATAGGGTGTGGTGACTCTCTCCTTTGATTCCGTCAAATCAGCGGTCTCATTACCAGCCATAAGGTCATCTAGAACATCGACGCGAGTTTCCTCTAATCCAGTCTCAGTTTCCTCAAAGGTAGTTTCGTAGTCATCCTGTGGGAGAAGATGTCAGTTACAGTTGAATGAAAGGGTTAGATCATGCCCATACGCCAGAACACCTACATTGGGCTCGTATCTAATTAGGAGGGTTAAAATGACATTAAAGAAAAGGGCAAGACGAGTTAGAGGGATGTATAAACATATATATGTATACTCTATTCACATGGTCCTTACCCGATATCGTCGTTGGCAACGTCGTCGTCGTAATCAGACATGGTATAAAGGTTAATTAAAAAAAAAAAAAAAAAAGCTGGTAACGAACTCAGTTAAGACTGGTTGTTGCAGTGAGCCCTGCTAAGCCACCGTTCCTCTCATGGCCTTTCACTGTTGCCTGAATTCACTCTCTCGTACTGACACCCTAAAAACTATCCGAACCATCCTTTCCATCTCACACAGCCTTTTATTCACACAGGGCCATGGGTAACCCCACCTCAAAAAGGAACAAGTCATGTTCTGTACTGTGGTTACAAAGGTCTGTGGCCTCCTAAAACGAGGTTTCGATCAGACCACACGAAGGAAATTTTACAAAACAGCGTTTCACTGCAATGGGCCAAATATTTGGTTTGAGCTAAGAATACAGGCTCTGGGAACACCGGCGGAGGAAATATTATGAGGTTGTACGAATAGGTCTCACAGTACCGCAAGGGTCCGGTCTAGTTACGTCAAGGTCAGTTGTGTAAAGCAGCTGACAAGAAGAGGCGAACAGTCGGCAGCAGCAAGGAATGATTTGGTGAGTTTTGCCATGAACGTGGCTGTCTTGGAACTCGGTTAAACCCGAGCGTGGCATTGTGGGGTCATAGAAACGTGGTTTTTAGGTGGAATGACATATCTTGATTTTCCGATGCTAATATAACTGGCTGGATGCGTAGGTAAGCACACACACTGGCTGGACCCACGCTTTTCTTCCTTTTCAATGGGACACACACCAGATTTAATATTACAGATGTTCTGGCGGTCTGTTATTTTTTTTTTTCCTGGCTCACGTGTGGTGCCGCGTGTGAACCTTGGTGGGCGCGGGATAATATTTTGTCAGGGACACTCGCTTCATAAATTAGTCCAAGGAATACAAAAACAACCTGGTTGATTTCGCTGAAATCCTCTCTAAGCCATCACGCGAAGCGAGTGACATCCAGTTGGAAGCTATGGGCCATGGGATCCTCAAGCCCTTGGCTGGTCCCGGCCGGTAATTCGCGGGACTCACCTAGTGTAACAGAGGCTAGCGTGGTGATTGGGCCATGCATAGTCGCTAAATCACGTGGCGGCTACGTCTATCAAGGGCCAGAGAGACATGATGTACTATACAACCCACCGTTAGAAAAGTAGATGCTGAAAAAGCGTTGTTGTTAGAAACATAGGTGATAGCAACCGAGGGTGAAGTGGACTGGAAGGAGAAATGAGAGAACGGATTCGGTTTGGTGGGGTTGTTGTCATACAAGCCAACTCTATACCAAACTCAAAAGGCGATTGGTTTTTTCCCAACGTGAAGGTTATGAACAGACGTTGGCTGCAATGTCGAGCAAGGCACACGAGGGTTGCATCAAATGGACCAACCGAGCAGGCACGCTTCTTCTACCCGCACCCGCTAAATATGGGAGGGGAGACGTGGGTCCAATCCAATCTGTATGCGGACCGGTTAAGGCTTGTGGACTCTCCTTATTCTCTTTTCTTTTTTTTTCCTCTTCTCTCTTTCTCTTTTTTTTTCCTTCTTCTTTTTCTTCTCTCATCTGAATTTCCTTCATCTCTGACATCCTTCATCTGGAGATTCCCCTCGCGAAACACAGCAAACCCCATCCGTCAGCTTGGATTTATACATGAGCATATCGCACCGTTAGCCTTGAATTAAGAGTCTAAAGATATCAGCTTGTGCAGACCTCCGTCCATTTTTTTTTTAAAAAAAACTACTTCCCTCTCAATTGTCTGTATATATGGATCCAGTCCAATGCTCAGTTGTAGTGATCAATGGCTGCGACTGTCCTCGATGTGTGCAAGCCGCACCCACCACAACCTATCACAGTGACCAACCCATATTGCACCAAGTATTTTCTCAAGGTAAGCTCTTTTTCTTGTAAACTTGACCCAATGCATGCAGATACTTAGTTCTTTTTCCTGCAGTTGTAATTGAAAATCATGGACATGCAGCCCTGGCCGGCATTCGCGAGCGCTTACAGAAAAATTACATGCCCACGATACTCCTAATTGATCTCGACACTTGTCCTCATGCCAATCAGCTGGTTCATCCTTCTATTAGTTTACTGCAAGATGTGGTCAAGGAACTTAAAGCTGGAACGCTGCATGATGTTGCTCCTGTCGGTAAGATAAATACACAAATTTTTTTTCCATTCTCCCCCCCCCCGCAAAAATAATGCATGGTAACTGATGCTGTCACATTTTTCCCTTTGGTTAGTATGCTCGACCAACGACTCTGCCAAACTCATGCTTCAATGCATCAATGAAGGTGCTGCAGATTATATATTAAAACCTCTTCGCAAAGATGTGCTGAAGACCATGTTCCTAGTAAGTCCTCGGCTTCTCCTTGATTTTTTTTCTGGGCCATCCCTAACGCACGTTTTACAGAATCTTCATCGATATCAAGTGGATGGGTGCGATACCCATGCTGTCAGTGACTCCAGTTCTGGATCTCAAACCGTTCATGACCCAATGAACGATAACCTGGACATGCCTACAGACCTATTGTGGAATGGTTTACAGCAGCATCGACTCCGAGAGATATTTATCAAAGATTCCCGGTATGCTTTATGTTTTGCATTGTGGCTCCATTGCACGTTTTAAAATGCTAACGTGCCATCCCTCAGCTTCACACATATGTTTATGACCTATTACACTCCGCGATCGGTCCATTTGGCTGTTTCGAAAATTGCAAGGTATGCCTACGTCCCCATTCCTTTTTTTTTCAGTACCCAACTAACCTCTTTACATTTTTGTTTTCATAGTGGCCGCGAAGAAATTCTAAAGGCCATGCTATCCAGTGGAGACTTTTCACCTTTTGAGTTGGACGTTAATGATCTCATTGAATGCGTCTGTCTCATTTTTGAGCAAGTGCTGGCACTTCCAGAATTGTCCTCCTATAAAATTACAAAAGGTACGCTTATTGTGTTACAGCCAGCCCATCACACAGTGTGTTGACTTTTTCACTCAGAGAACCTGTACGAGTTAATCCTTGATATTTACAAGTCCTATCACGATACGAACCCATATCACAACTTTTCTCATGCTGTGGACGTGTTACAAACCACCTATTATTATTTGTGTCAAATCGGCGTTTTAGAGCCTCTTTATCCTTCTGCCGCTCGTGCACGATCGAGACCAGCCTGCGTCTCTCAACTCCCGGTTCGTGACATCATACGACCATGCGACATCTTTGCTTTACTGATGGCCAGTATTGGACATGACGTTGGTCATCCTGGAGTGAACAATATGTTTTTGGTAAGACTAGCCAGCCCATGGAGCGCAATGGCATCAAAATGCTTACCATTTTTTTTTTTTCCAATTAGATCAATATTGGAACCCCATTAGCACTACTCTACAACGATCGGTCGGTTTTGGAAAGTTTTCACACTATGGCATTTTTTCACATTTTGAAAAAGCACGGTGTTGACCAAATATTGGGGGGTCCAAGGTCGGCTGCATATACCGGTGAGTAGGCCGAAAGCCGTTTTTCTTTATGGTAATATTGATCCTAAATGGCTTTGTGCAGACTTTAGGAAGTGTATTGTCAATGTCATCTTGGCCACAGACATGGGATTACACAATGACTACGTGGCCAAGTTTAGAGATCAGGCGGATAGGCTGAAAGAAAATGGTCCCATTGACCTAAGTGATGAAAAGACGTGCGACCAGGAGAGAATGCTTCTGTTCAGTGCCATCATTAAATGTGCCGATATTGGCAATGTGGTAAGTTTAGCAAACAGCCATGACATATCAGTCCATCCAAAGCTTACTTACCGTTTGGGTTCTGTTCAGTCACGACCTTTCAAACATGGATTGCGTTGGGCAGAGGTACTGGTGGACGAATTCTCCAGCCAAGGCGATCTTGAACGAGAATTGGGCCTGCCTGTTATGCCTATTAACGACCGTGGTAAATTATCACAAGAAGATGTTCAAATCGGTTTCATCAAGCATGTTGCGCTACCGTTATTTGAAGTAGTGGATAGTATCATCCCAGGTAATTTCATCTTTTTGGAATGTAAAGGCGACACTGACTTTTGTCTTTTTAATTCTCTGTAATAACCTTGACGTCTTGTAGGCTTTTCATTCACGGTAGATGCCATTCAGGAAAACCTGCAACAATGGGAACAGCGCAAGTCACAACCTGGCATGGAAGATGTTCGAACATCGATGCAGACTATCCATACTAGCATGGTGGAAGAAGCAAAATCATGCCATGCTCAAGCTGTAGAGGTTATTCATTCCATGGAATCACGAAGGTCGTCTTCGGCCGCCATAGCCATGACCAGTCAATATGGCATCCAGTCATTCCATATTCAAGACGATCCTGTGTTGAAACCCAAATCTTCTGTTCGAAGTCTGACGGATATGTTTAGCAAGCATAAACGAGAAGTCGACTGGCAAACTACTGAATCTCCCTCGCCACTCTGTGCATGCTGCCTTCAGTAAATGGAGACTCTAGACGCTCCTTCCAGAAGGAATGAACACTCCCAAAAAAAAAAAAAAGAGATCATCTGCTTGTATGAAAGATATCATTTGCCAACCTCTTGTTACAGTCTGAACATTTTTCCTCTCTCTTTTATTTATTCTCATGTGTATTAATTCCTTTTTTCCAACCACCACCTTTCTCCATCTGTCCTGTGATAGCTTGTAATAATGACCCTCTCTCCCTCTCTTTTTCGTCAACTCATTTAGTTTGTACATTTTGGTCTTTTCTTGGACAACAATAGATTCATTTCTCACCTGCTTAAACCCTATGTGTGTCTGCTTGTAACACTTGTTTCCATGGAAGCACCTCCTTTTAGCGCACCCTTAAGTCGGATCCCCTGCGTGTACGACCACGCCAGAAACCTCGCGATCGACTCTGATGGCTATATGGTTAAATGCTGCCCATGCCTACTCCTTATGCCAAACATTTATTTACACCACCCTGGAGCGACGAATTCCATACCCTACGATCCAATGGGTGGAGGGGGTATTTAAGTTTTATTTGCGTGCAGGGGCCATGTTGGCATTATGCTAGGATTTATATAAGTCTACAGCACCATCCGAGTCGCGTGCCAGCTGAGACTTGAAGGCGGGAAAGAGGGTACAAAAGTGATCAAGATGTCAGAACCGTCGGTTTCTCCTCTGGTACAGGCGACGATGATTCATCCAGCGTAGGCTCGGTAGATGGGCGTTGAATGAGCTTTCCCTTGACCCCGACCCAGAACCAAACAATGGGGATGCAAACCACCATGATGAAACCCAAAATGATATTGAGCCAGAAGAACCCAATAGAAGAGTAGATGTAACCGCCCATGAGGGGGCCAACAAGCATACCGCCAGCAAAGGCGATGTTGAAAACAGCATACGACTTTGCAAATCCATCGGATTCGCCGTCCTCCTTGTTCTCCAGAGCAACCACCGCGGCAATTTCAGACAAAATAGGCGACAGTACGGCTGAACCGAAGAATCCTTCCAACACCAAAATCACAATCAACGGCGCAATGGTGGTTGATTGGCTTGGAATGCCAAGAATCATGCACATAGCCGCCGTGATGGTAAGGGACGGGAGCATGACAATTTTAGCACCATACTTGTCGGAAAGATGACCAGCCAGAGGCCCAGAGACAAAGCCAGGAAGGACTTGAGCCAAAAATACCACACCAATCTGTGATGTATTGTATTTCCATTCATCTGACAACCGCAATGTCAAAGTGGGCTAAAAAGAAATAGTAGAAAGAATGATGTAGAACGGTGGGTGGGTCAGTGGGAGCTACAACTTGATGGTTCAATGAGGATTGGGCGGCGCCTTACCTCGATGGAGCCAAGCACAATGGCACTAGCAAAGGTCAAAGACAGCGCACCCCACATTCTACTATAAGAAAGGAGTTTCAGGATAGACACCTTGTTGTCAATGGCAGCTTCAGGCGATACGGACACGGCAGTGGGTGCCTCCTCGATGACGGCAGGGTCGTCTTCTACAATGGTATTAGCTGGTACGTGGGCACTATCGACCACTGATTTCTCGTCCGGTGTGGGCAAAGCTTGCTTTTTGTTGGCTTCAGCCGCTCTGTCCATGTCCTCAAACCATTCTTTGGGGTTACGTCGTCGCTCAACAATCAACAATCGCATGATAAAATCAATGGCGGCAAGGATGATGCAAAAGATAAATGGTGCTTTGAATCCGAGTTGATGGTATAAGGCTGATGGATGGAAAAGAGGGTTAGTCTATCAAGACGGTCAAATGTGAGATGCTATGTATACACTACGTGCCTCCTGTTAAAAATAAAATGAAAATCCAGTCAAAACATGATTCATTGCCTGCCAATGTTTATGTCCGTTGCCACCACGTACCTCCTATAGGGGGTCCACTGGTCATGCCAATAGAGTAGCAGACCATGACTTTGCCCATCTGCAGGCCCAATTCGCCTTTGGGAAATGTATCTGCCACCAGGCAAAGACACAAGATCCACACACACGAATCAGAGAATCCTTGAAGGAACCGAGCAATGAGCAGTTCATAATAATGGCGGCTAAACATGAACAAGAGGGTGGATCCAATCAAACCGAGAATGCCAAGCAACATGGCACCTTGACGTCTCTGCATTTTATCACCTATGAAATGGATTTGTTAGTAAAATTTTGTAACCATACGGGACAAACGCTGCTGTTCCTTACCAAGATATCCAAAAAGCGGAGATCCGACTGTGGAGCGATAGCCAAATTAGTACAGTTGGTCCCCATTTGGCACATGGCCCACCCATTCTGCTGAAGCCAGTTTGACCAACACTTACCAAGGATACCGGCAGCAAACAGCGCCAGCAACACACCGGTTTGTTGCGACACTTGCGCATTTTCACCGGGAGTGGCATTGGGATCGACATCTTCGGGCGAGTTTCCCATGTCAATGGAAAGAATAATGAATGGAACTAGCAATGGTGAAAATGAAGAGAGGGAGGAATGGGTGAATACAAGTCGCTTGCCATGTGCTGCTTTGAATTGTATCGTTGCTTACTGATAGGAACAATGATGCCGTATACTACCATCTGCATAGGAAATGAAAAATTAGCATTGGGGGGAAAACAACAACAATGAAGTCGAAGGGGCCAATACTTGCATCGACGAAAAGACCAATTCCAACCGTGGCTAGGACAAACACCTTTGAGCCACGAATCCATAGCAGGACCGGCTTTTTACGTTCTCCCGTAGAAAACATGATGGGGTATTATGAATGAAAAAGGTCCAATTATGAAGGTTAAATTACAATGACAGTGAGATATCAGATCCGATGGAGGTGATTGCACAGTGGGTACAAGTCGCAGAGAAATTAATGGAAAGAGGGGAAAGAATAAATCGTCTTTTACATAAAAAAAAAAATAAAAAATAAACTGAGACGTGCAAAAGAAAGTTTTTGGGTGGGTTGGAAGCTCCGGTATTCGGTGGCCGTTGCCGCTCAAGAAAATTTTTACCACCGTCCTGTCAACCTGGACAAAGAGAGCCTTCAACCACCTAAACTACGTCATTGCAGGTATACCGAGAATGACTCATAAGGGCCAATACGAGGTCGGTGAGGATTTTTCACATTGACAGTCTTGATGTTCAGCAGAGTGTGTTCACGATATGTCGATGGGCAGCAGCGACATGTCGTTTTTAGCTCTACAACCGTATCTAGACATTTCACGCGTGATGCTTTATTTCGAATAGACTGCATCAAATGGGATTGTATTGTTTATTCAAAGTCAAGAACCCCGATATCGTGATACTCTATGTTTTGATCAGCATGCCGTACGGAATTAGCAAACAATGCCACCACCCACTTTCTCAGTACCACATCTACTTTGCTAAGAAAGCTATGGCCACTTAAAGTTACGCACTATGGTCAATGCGCGACGACGCCAAGAGTGAGTTGATTTTGCAGCCATCTTCTATTATGTCACAGAATCACGAAAGGTTGATATAAAATGCACCATTGGCTGAAAGCTGACTCATCAGTGTGGGTAAGAGGACGGCCAAGTGGACAATGGACGTCCCAAAAACCGATGGCAAAGTGGTTGAATTTTTGACTGCGGCAAGGTTGCCAAAAAATGGAAGGCCGACCCGATTATTTTTCTGACAAGCTGAGATCAACTCATTTGATCAGCGCTGAAAATGTTAGGTATGAACATCAAGCTGAGTTGGCTCATGCTGATCTTTATGAAGAGATATGAATCGGCATGTTGAACATGGTCATGCAGGGTGCTGCGTCCCTTAATAGTATTTACGCATGAGACTAGAGCATTATCGCAGAAAAAGTAGATGCTAATCACCACGCGTCCGATACACAGTATTGAACACGATAATTCGCATTTTTTTCTTTTTTTTTTTTGTATCGCAAGGTTCATTGTCTTGTAAACACTCTTTGACGCAAAGTATGGAGCTTAATGGTAGGCATGGCCAAGTATAGTCGATGGTTAAAAAAATAAAATTGGGAAATGTTAACTTGACAGAACTCGCATGTAAGCCTACTACGAGGCGTCCTCAATGCAGTATAATGAGCAACCCGGTAAAAATATAATATTTGTATCCATTGCACCTTTAGTAAACCTTCATACTATTTAGCGCCAGTTGGCCCAGGGCAGTTCATCAATGGACCCTGGATACACAATGAACAGCACACCTCAGCTCTTTGGCATTTAGCTGGTATGGCGCCGCCCAATGTGAGAATGCCACCCTGCGATGTACACGAGGAATTGGATGCAGGTAGCTTAAATGAGAATTTTCAAATGGACTTGACACGTCAGTAAGACAATAGGACTGTCTCACGACAGATTGGTTCATAATGTGAAAGCCATCTACATTGATATCGTAACAAAAAATGCACACGATGATATGGCCATAAGGAAACAGGGCGAGACAAAGGGGTTATCACAACATTGAGCTATGCACGCTCGCATTGTGAGAAAAACCTATGCGTTATCGTATGTTCCAGCGACGGATCTACAGCATTTTAGTTCAGAGAAACCCGTATCGAGCGGACTTGATGGTCTCAGACTGATATGCGTCAATCCAGGCGGTTTGCGGAAAGTCTGCGCTACCAAGACCTGATACCGCAGCTGTTTGTCAGATCAGATCAGAGCATCTCCATCTATCGATGGTCAGCATACGTTGCCATACCACGTTCAGGTTAGATCAATATACATGTTGGTTCCCTTCAAAACAAGCATCACAAGGACCTGAAAGATAAACATTGCCGCCTTGCTATGGCAACATATGCTTATCAAAGTTGGGCACACAAAAAGAAAGTTTTTGATTTGTTTCCAGCATTAAGCTGCAAATAGAGCAGGGGAATTTTATTCTTTTTCACTTCTCCAACCAGTGTAGAACTATAATTTTTTTAAAGGGTCTAAATAAAAAGGTGCAAAAAATGTAACTATTTATAACCACCAAGCTTCTTCTTCATGAGCAAACATGGTATCTTCGTTATCATCCATTTTAAACGTAGCGTCGTGGGCAAATGGATCGTTATCGAAATCGACGTGATCAGTTTCATCAGCCATATCAGACCAAGAACCGGAGACACAAATACCAGAGTCGTAACTGTGCACGTTGTAATCTTGCTTGCGTGGGATGGGAACGGCGGGAGTTGAAACAACAATAGGAGTTTCAGATGGCAGAGTGCTGAAACAAGTGACCTTGGCGAATTGCTGACGGAGCTGAGCAATATCTGGGCGGCGCTTAGGGTCAAGGCTAAGGGCAGACTTGGCAAACTCATAAGCATCATCCGACATGGGGAACAGCTCCTTGAGGACGGCAGGGTTGCGCATGTATTCAGCAAACACAGCGTCATAGGAGGAAGCCTCCTGCCATGGATTACGTCCATAGACCAAAGCCAGAAACAAGACGCCTAGACTCCAGATGTCAGACGCAGCAGAATCATAAGGTTGTTCCAATTCATCATCCGATTGATCGTCTTCCAAAAAGTGCTCAGGAGCAAGATACGTGGTGGATCCGCAGCCAAACTCCATGGAAAGACGGTCACGGGTGGCCAAGCCAAAATCAGCTACCTTGGTCACCAATTGTTCTTCAGGGGAGTCTTCGTTGGTCAACTTGAGGAGAATATTTTCCAACTTGATATCACGATGATAGATGTGATGGTCATGCAAGTACTGGAGAGCATCGAGAATTTCAGAAAAGGCTTTGCGAGCAAACTTGGCATCGCGCACTGGATTGATTTCAGCGTCACGAACCACGTAGTCAAACAAATCGCCTTGATCACAGAGTTCCATGATGATGTAAATATGAGTAGCATCTTCAAAAGTTCGGTAGAGGGAGATTATGTTTGGGTGCGAAAGGCTTGATTGAATATCGATTTCAGATCGTTGCAAGGTAAGCTGTTGCTCATCCAGACCAACTTTGGTCAGAACCTTGACGGCGACGTAATCACTGGAGTGGATGTTTTGGCCTAAGAATAGGCAGCCATAGGAGCCATGGCCTAGCTCTTCGAGTAAGCGGAATTCACCATCAACGATGGTATCTAACTTGGAGGCGACAAAGTCGCTCCAGTCAATTGCGTGGTGTTCAACTTGGTGTGTGTTCATTGGATACTTTCTTTCTTGGATTGAACTATATGGTAGAGAAATCTGTAGCGAGATTACTGGATGTAATGACGGACCAGGAAACGGGTCTTGATAAAATAATAGAAGGTGTATCGATTACAATCATAATTGATAGATGTGTAATAGAGTAGAAAATCCGAAGGGTTTTTCTGAAACGCAGTTGCTTTTGGGTTTGATAATTGGAAGGAAGATCCTTTTCTTAGATGAAAAGTTGTAAAGGTGGGGGATCGTGAACAATCACTTTAGTTAGACATGTTGACAAAAGACGATATAAGATAAACAAGCTGGAGAGAAAGAAAGAGATGCGAGGGAAAAGAAATCAGGTCAAGTGATGTGGTATTTAAAGAAACCGACAGATGAGTAATTGCGCCATTTGAACATGCTTTTTCCAGAGGCTTCCACCAGCACCAATCACATTCCGCCCCAATTTGTCAACGTCACATCGAGTCCAGATTTCCAGTCGGAAGAAATGGAATGACGCATCCACTTAGATTAATAAATAAAATTCGTTGGTTTTTGTCACAATTTAGCCATTTTCCTCCAACCATCAGCCGGCCCGACGGGATTGCGCAAGTTTAGCCGTTCTGGCAAAATCTCAGTAGTCCTTTGGCTCACTAATACTTCCAACAAACCCATGCTGAAACGGCCCTTGTTAATAATTCTATCGTCATGGCGGAAAGCGTCCATTTTTTTTATTATTATTCATCTGTGTTTGGATTCTATCTGTTGAAGCTTTTTGGTGGCCATATCAATGCCTGCATCACTGGCCATTTGTAAACGTCGTTTGGCTTTGTCTACTTCACCCAGTGCTTCATACACACACCCAAGGTTGTATTGGATTTCACCATCCATTGGATTGAAATTGGTAGCTTGTTCAAGATGCTTTACTGCACTTTTGATGTCTTTAAGCATAAGGTAGCTATTGGCGATGTTGGTGTGGGCATCCGCATTGTGAGGCTGCAGTTCCAGTGATTTCTCGAAAGCTTGAATGGCGTCTTTATGTTTACCCATTTGAAAATAACAAATCCCTATATTGAAGAAGCCGGCGCCTAAAAACTCAGCGTCAGTGGCGAATATCCATTATAAATGGTAACCTGTTGTTGTTTATCTCACCGCTTGGAGCAATCTGCACGCTTTTATGGTAGCTGTCCATAGCCTGGTGTTACAGTGTGTGAGCCAAACGAAAACAAACTTTGCTTTTTTGATGTTTGCATTTGTTCACGGGAACTTACCAGATCAATGGATCCTTTATTCAGATACTCGGTTCCAAGATCAAGTTGTTCCTGAGCCAATGCTTTATTGTAGATGGGTCGAGTGGAGGAAATATCTGATGAGCCCCCCCCCAAGTTAATAATTTCATCTAAGACTTTTGCCACACCACGTCGAAACGGACCAACTCACTTCGGATGGAATTCACACGGTTCGGGGCAAGGCGAAGGACATTGCGGCAGGCAACAGGTGTCCTGAGCTGACGTACTGCAGTTGTTGCCGTGAGGATCTTGGTCAATCTGTACATGGCAAGGGATGACGCTTGGTATGTTATAAAACGTTGGAGCCGAATACACCAGGCTCTGGCAAGCTTGGAAAAAAAAAAAAGCATCCGCGTCATGTGATCGACTCAGTAATTCTGGGTCAGAGAGAGGGCAGCCATCAAACATCAGGTACTATAGAAGCCATAGGGGTTTCACCTGGTGACAATTAGTACCTCGCTAGTTTATGAATACATGTTTGAGTTCAACTCTCTTTTTATTGTCCTGTTTTTGGGCGATCAATTATAAAAAAAAAAAGGACCAGATGTGGTTATGTTTAGGCAAGACTTTCCTGCAAGTATCTTTCTCCATCTATACCTCAGTCCAGTCAATCTCCAGGCCTGCAGCGTCACTGTGACCTTTGCAATCTCGGCGCCAATAATATAGATGGTGCCGTAATCGGTGTTCAACAATTACAAGATCTTCAGCAGAGTACTTGTAAATCTTCTGTTCTAGGCTACTCAAATGGTCCACAAGATACTTATACATGAGCAGTTGAGAAATGCCATATTCAGCTGGTTCATAGTAAAGTACAATTGGAAGGCGTTCACGAACTAATTTGATCAATGGCATCAAATCATTTGTTGCCTTTCGAGTACGCTCCATCTCAAAGTCGCTCGGCTGCCTATGCTCCTTTACAGACGCTAGTATAAACAGTTATTTACCTCGACAAGTAACATGTCAATTTTGAGAGCAGCACTTACAAGGAGTTGATTTAATCCAATCATCTATCATGCGTTGTTGAACTTGGTAGATAGCAGAATTGATGTCGAGCGCTTCTGGCATTTCTCCATTCTGAAGATGAACAAAACTAGCTGGCAAGTCCATTCGGATCAGTGACATCAAGTGCTGCCAATATGGCTTCCAGTGCCTCTTATTAAACCCACTCGTGATATCAATTGGTATATGCGGGAATTGAACGTTTTCGGGGTTGTCAAATGCTTTAGTAACTCCCACACTTGGACGCGAATACTGATCTTCGAGGTACGCGTTGAAGGAAGGAAAGTGATATTGGCTTTCCCAACTGTAATATATTGGCAAATAGTTCGCAACGCTCCATCCTTTTCCTTGAGGTAGTAGGACCGACATCGGTATCCCTGGCGACCTTGGCAAACCCGTCATCAAGTCATTGTAGCCTGGCATATCCAATGAAGGCAATTTACCGATGGTTATTATTGTTGCAATATACTGGATCCAATAGTCTGTGAAGCTTTCAGCAGTAGGAAACAGTTGATATCTATCATCCATATCATCAGGAGGTCGAAAGTGAAATGTATCTGTCGCCCACATTCCACCTGTGAACACTTTACCAATGCCCTTATCCATTGCTTGCAAGTCGACATGTAGCGTGTCTTTATCTACAAATGGAGGTAGTTGGTCTTGCAGATCCGATTTGGTGCTGACCAGCAGGCTCAAGTATTCTAGACCATTATTATACCGATGTTCCGTTAATGAAAAGCACACTATCTTTGTGTGATTTAGAAAGTCAATGGTGGCCTCGCTTAGACCTTCTAGTCTTTCCTCTTGAATGAAGTCATGGTCTGCTTCGTGTTTATTGCGGAATTGAGTTAATTTAATAACACGTCGCCAATTACTCTCGTCTGTAAACGTGGAACCAGACGCAAGACCCATTTTGGGTACATTTTTGTCCACGCCGCACGTCAAATGGTGAGCAAAGTTCAGTAAGTATAAAACAAAGTCGATAGGAAGTGGAGCTCCAGCCTCTGCTTCTATGCTTTGGATGAAGGCGCTGTCGTATAGTGGTGTTGACCGTGGAGGCTTGAACTCTTCGGATTTTTGCCGGGCCACTGACACCATTTGACCTTGAACATGTAGAATGTGTACCGCAAACACACAGCGCTGTTTCCACGATTGCACCCAATCCTCTAAATGGCAGAACTTTGAATCCTCCAGTGCATCGAACTGTATGAACTTAAGTCTTTTCACATTTCGAACAGCATCAGTGATGACGAACTGATCAATAGGGTAACCGTCCAACAATTTGGTATAAGCAGTTTGCCATATTTTTTCGCTGGAGAATGAAGCGTAAAAGAAGCTCCAGGAAGAACCAGCATTTATTAAGTCTCGAGCTGTCAATAATTCCGCTATCTGCTGTGCAATTTCAAGCGGAAGGTTCCTATTTCGCTTGCTACTGTGAGGCATGAATAGAGTGGCTATGAGTACAGTTAGGGTCTGTGGATATTTTATGGTGGGACCCAACGTCTATTGAGATATGAAGTACTATGTGTAACGTTTGAAAACATCTGTAGAAGCGTCATCAAAATCAATGTTCGTTAATTTAATTTTCAAGTAGCTCTCGCGATAAGTATAAACAAAATAGCTCGGCGCTGTTGGTGTTTTTTTGCTTGATAGGTGGGGTTTCCGGCCAATCTATGCAGGGAAGAAAGGATTGCTTTATGCTGTTTAAAGACTTGGGAAAATTGTTTTGGCCAGAGGTTGAGAAGCATTAGCCCATACACAGTGGCCACCAACATCAAAGAGAAAGATACTCATTCCTTTGTTGCTTTGGCAGTCAAGCTAATAAAGTACTGGGTAGTGTTTTTAAAGGCACATTATCAAGTTGTACCTGAGGCTCAACTTCCTGCGCTGAATTCTGCTATTACAATTGAAATTTACACCCGTCTTTTGCATGCTCTTTTTAATTGATATCAAAGATCTTTCCGATGTTGGTTGCGCGACCATGTCATAATCGAAAATCCCTTTATGAAAAGCAACTTTAACGACTTGTGGAGTAGTGACCTTTCAGCTCGCTGAAGGTGTACATGCCAATACTTATCCGGATAAAAATGATCTCTGATTCATACGCACAACTGAGTCTCCTTTTCATTATTTAAAAACATTAGGTAATCTATCAATATTTTGTGGTCGAACCTCCTTGTCTATCGCTGTTAGCATGGCCCGAGGCAATTCAGAATGTAAGGCTTGCAAAGAAGACTGTTTTCATGAGTTAATTCAAGTGAGCAAAACAGGATGGCAATCAGGAAGTTCACGACAAGTGGCCACAAAAATCCTCCACGTAGCCTCTATGTCTAGGTGCACTCTCAAGTCTTTTGACTCTCAAGTTGATAATTACATTACTGGCAAAGAAATGATTTCAAATATCTCGGTTACAAATTTCGTTTTTGTATTTTGACCTTCCAATTCATTTGGTAGGGAAACCTCTTCAAGGCAATGAAGTTCTTTACTTTATAGTGAATCAAAGCATTTTTTAAAATCTTTATTTCAAACCACGTTGAATTCGCTAATGCTGAAAAATACATGCAAAGGTAAAAATCTTCCCTCATTTTCGAATAGTCAGCAATGGTATTATTTCTGCTTCCATATATGGAAGATTAGTGGTTTGATCTTAGGCCGCCGCTGCTTCATCAGCCAAAATTAATAAACCATCGATCTCGCTTCCAATATATAAACCACGTATTTTTCTCTCGAAGTTCTATATTCAATCTCAAAAAACAAACTCTCATATAACAGTATGGTCTCATCAATTCAAGCAGGCGCTCGTGTCCTAGTCACTGGAGCAACAGGCTACGTCGGTGCACAGGTCGCAGATCAATTCCTCAAGGCAGGATACGTTGTAGTTGGCACATCTCGAACAGCAGCTAAAGCTCAGAATGTCAAGAAGTATTTTGACGACAAGTATGGTGCTGGAAAATTCGAAGTGTATGAAACCGGTGATCTCGTAAAGGATGGTGCTTTCGATGGTGCTGTGAAGGGTATGTGGGCTCTGATAATGCATCAACGCGTTTCTTTTGAAAATAGTTACTGACATCTTTCTTCCCTCCTACAGATGTCGATGCAATCGCTCACGTTGCATCTCCTGTTATTTTCAACGCCGTAGATCCCATCAAAGAAGTCATCGAGCTCGCTGTCAGTAGCACCTTGAGCCTTCTAAACTCTGCCCTGAAATACGGAAAAAACGTTAAACATGTTGTCGTGACATCAAGCGTTGCAAGCATTGCCGATGGTAAAGCTTCGCCCGATCACGTATTCACTGAAGCAGACTGGAACGATGTAGCTTTCCAAAGTGTGCTTCAGCAAAAGGAAAGTGGCCAACCTATTCACCCCTTCGTTGCGTACGTTGCCAGCAAGAACGAAGCAGAGCGTGCTATTTGGCGCTTCAAGGAGGAGAAGAAACCCTCTTTCGCAATTTCTACTATTCTACCTTCCTTCGTCTATGGACCCATGCTTCCTCCACCAGCCACCGTGCAAGAAGTACAGGCGAATACCACGGCCAAAGAAATCGTGTTCTACTATTCCGGCGAAAACCAGGATCCTTCAAAGGACCTCGGACTCAACGTATTCGTCGATGTCACTGATGTTGCTCTTGCTCATGTCCGTGCCATTGAGCGAGCCGACAAGTCCGATGGACAACGCTACTTGTTGAGCAGCGGTACTTTCACTTTCCAGCAGGCAGCCGACATCTTGCGCGAGGCCTTCCCAGAGCGACAGAATATCATTGCCAAGGGACAGCCTGGACAGAAGACTCCTGACAATAAGTTCGACAGTAGCAAATCCGTTCGCGAGCTTGGAATTGAGTATAAGAATTTCAAAGCTACGGTTTTGGACACCGTCGATAGCGTCAAGCATCTTTATAAGCTTTAGTTTCTTTAGCTTTCTTAAATGTAAACAACCTGTAATTTCTTACAGATACAAAGTGTAGAAACCTACTATCAGTTAAACTTTGTAACTGACCTCTTATGATTAAATATTGTGTTGAGCTTTCCTCTCAATGATAACTTATTGACGCCACGTACCTTAGCATTGTGAATACCTACTCGTAGTGAAGTGGTTGTTCGTCTGAGTCACCTGATGGTCTCCGCTACGACAAATGATGAATGGACATAGGAGAACAATTGCGCCAGCTTTCTCTTAATATGCGTGATTATCCATGAAGCAAAATTTTCTACAATGCGACTAGAAGAATACATTGCCGGTCATTCACACGATAACACCTTTCCTTCCCAAAACAAGATATTAGAATTGCAATTCATTTTTTTTAATGTACAAGATTTTGCGGTGGAAAAATAAAAGAAAAAAGGGCATGTTGTATATAGCGTCTAAAAAACAGGGCCGACCTAGTCTATGATTGTTGCGGCTCATCGTAGCGTTTGATAATGTTATCAGCATAAGGGTGATCGGGGCCGTCGAAAATGTGAAGGCGCTCGAGTCGTTGCTCTCTCAGTCGGTTCTTGGGCAACATGCCTGACACGGCCTTCTCGATGACTCTTTCGGGATAACGGTCCATCATTCTGCTCATTGGGATTTCCTTGAGACCACCAGGGTGACCTGTGTGATGTCTATACAACTTTTGATCCCATTTCTTTCCAGTCACAGCCAGTTCCTTTGCGTTAATAACAACAACGTGGTCACCACAGTCAGCTATTAGAAAGAACTGGAGGTGAGTACAGCACAACAACATGAATGAGTTCGTCATGGAATTATCCCTCGTACCTGCTGGATCGTAGATTGGCTTGTGTTTGCCCATCAATGTGGTGGCAATTCCAGTTGCCATGCGGCCGAGAACTCTTTGTTTGGCATCCACCAAATGCCACACTCTAGCGTAAGCCAGTGCCGTCTGGAGGGAATCATATATTGTTAATTGATCAGTTGCTATGGCAGGCGTAAAGCATTAGGTGCCTTACCTTGCCAACGTTTTGAGACATGCTGTTATTAAATAAAAAAGTTTGAAATGGGCCGTATCAACATTTTTTTTTTTTTTTTGTGTCTGGGTGCCTTGCTCACGTGACCTATGGTCAAAAACCTCCATGGCAGCAGCTTAACCTTTGCTTAACGTTCATTCCGCCATGTCACAACCAAGTCTGACTGAGCGTCCGTTGTTTGGCGGTGCTCTCTCTGCGCCTCTAAGACAATCGTACCTGGATGCAAGGCATGTGTTCAACTTTGATTCATCCTTGATTCTCTCACGTCAGCCTCTTTCTAACCTATTGTTCCACTGCACCGCAGCCAGATCAGACAGATCCCGGATAACCAGGAAGTATTTGTGGACGCCAATACGGAGCAAAGCTTGATTATAGAGCTCCTTGATCTTGTCCCCGTAGCCAAAGAAAAAGAAATTGCAAAGTAGGTTCAATCATTTATCTGTGTATGTTAAAGGGATCCGTTGATACTCATGTTTCTGCCACTAGGTATCACTTCCAGCAACTGGCCGAGGATAACGAAGCGAAAGAAGCCATCGTCAACGATATCTCTCTGCTTGAAGCTACAAGCAATCCTTCCCTACCGTAAGCCTCGCGTAGCCTTTCCATGACTGACGTTTGTTTTTTTCTAAACCTTGCATGAAACATGTAGATCGGACTCGTCCCAAATATACGTCCTCAAAGGCTTGCAGAAAATCTCAAAGTTCAATGAACAGCAGTTGCATCATGTTAACATTGTAATGGCCATTATCCGTCTGGCCAAAGTGCATACTGACGTAGCTATTTCTGTCAATGTCCCCGAGGGTCAAGGTCAAATTGAGCTTGTCGAATCGGAGATGCTGCAGCTTGTCAAAGGCTTCAAGGTCAATGACTGGAGCCTATTTGGCTAAGCATAGCCGGCCATATCCACTGTATTCACACATCCATATATTTTGCATTCATCACTAGCTAGTTACACTATTGTTTTTTTAAATAAAGTCCCCACTTTAACGCTCATTGTAAGTCTCTAACTGAAAATATTTGTTTCTTTTCTATATTGCGATCTGGGGTATGACTAAAAATTCAAATGGAATACACATGAGATGGCTCAAGAGTCAATATGTTGTGAAACAATGCGCTTTCGTTCGACGCGACTGACATTGACTGAGCTGCCGGTGGGAGTACCAGCCACTAGGCCTTGATAGTCCAAACGGTAAATCTTAGGCGGAAGACCTTTACCGAATTTACGATTGATGTGGTTGGAGCACAGCAGGGCGCTAATGAGAACGAAAAGATGGAAGGGTATCAGGGAGAAAGCTACGATGTAGCAGTTGGTCAGACATTGACGACTGAACGTTTGGTATTTGAACTTGCAACCTGGCAAGAGGGTTCGAGGGAAGCATTTGTTAGAACGCTCATGGAAATCAGTGAATGTTTTGTATCCACAGCAGTGAAGCTAAAGAAGAAAAGAGAGGTTAGAACAGAATAGCATCGATACGGCATCGCGATGAAAGACTAACGTTGGCTTGAATGCGAGCACGATCGTTGGCTGATAAATTATAGTGCCATTGGTACGATAGCTTTCCCTCCAAATTCCATTTATTTTTGCGGTACGAGACATAGCCGATAGCAGCAATCAGGGCAAAGCATGGCCATAGCAAGACGTTGTAGACGGTCAAAATAGCGCGATTGTTGAGCATGATGCCAGCGTAGCCAACGAAGGAGGTGATCAAGCTTATACTTCCTGCTGCAGTCACGACTGGAGAAAAAACCGACGACAGTTGAGTACAAGCATGATGGGTAGGCGGGAAAAAACCTCGTCACTTACGTCGTAGGAGCAAAGGTTCGCTGACAATAATGACATCAGCTCGAAGGTACACTGATGAAGTGGAGAGGTGAGCCAAAGGACGGTATACACAACGCCATCGGCGACCAACTTACGTTTGAAATACGTCAACACAGCGAGCAACACACCACCCAGACCGTAGATAAAGAGCTGGTAGAGAAAAAAGATGGAGGTTTTTTTTTTCAATAAGCGACGATAACAGCAGATCGAGTGCCTTTCCCGCTTACTTACAATGGTATTTGATATGAGCATCCACCATTTGTGAACGGTCCACCGGCCCCTCTTCTTGGCTTGTTCGTCGGTATTGGCGGCTTGGAATCGCTTCATGACATGCAATGACGACGCATCGACACTACTTCGCATAGACGGTGGGCTAGCGTTCGGGACCCATGGTAGGACGGGCGGGGCGGGAAGGTGGTCGACTGAATTCCAGGGTGAAATGTTTTGAGCCGGTGCTATACCATGCAGACTAGATCGTAGCTGAGCCATAGAGGAGAAGCAAGTGTCAAAAGTAGCACAGTAGTATGAAATGTATAAAAATAAAGACCAGCACACGTTGCCGTCGCGATTGGCTAAAATCACACGAAACAAAGTAGCAATTTTTATGGGAGAAAATAAAAAGGGGTGGACAATGTAAGAAAAAAAAATGTCAAGATCCTTTAATATAAAACTTCTTTATGGTAGCGTCTTTACGAATTCAATGATTCTCTTGACTCCAACCCACCAGGTACCGCATTCATCGGACTTGGTAGTGGCCAGTTCCAATTGGATGCGTCCTGCGTCTTCATAGTTGCGTTGTTGCAAGGCTAAACGGGATAATTAGCAAACCTGGTTTGGCTATCTTTACCATGGTCAGGGCTACTCACCTTGAGCAAGGGCAATCATTCGGTCGGTCACTCCACTTGACAACTCTTGGTTATTCAACATATCGCTCATCACCACCAATCTCTTCTCTGCATCGTCCCACATACGCTTTTGAGCAGGCTGCAAAACAGGACATAACGGTGAATACGCTATTGCAGTCGCGTTTGTTCTACATTGTAAATTGAACTTACGCCCGAATTTTGTCTTGCTCGCTGAAGTTCAGCTGTCAAAGAAGTAACAATGACCTTTTGTGCTGCTGGGATGTGAGTTTGGTCTCCTCTGGCTGTAAAGTAAAAAGAAACGCATTCAATTAAATCCATCCAACACTTTTGACTTGATCTCGTATCTACACTTACGATGGCGCTTGGGCTGAGGAGGGGCTGGTGCTGCTACAGGAGATGGAGCAGGAGCGGATGCTGGAGGGCCGGCAGGTGGAGCATGCATATGACCAGGTTGTTGCTGTTGTGGTGGTGCCATAGGGCCAGGCATGTTGACTTGACCAGCAGGTGGAGCATAGGAGAAGGAACCACGGCTAGCAGGTTGTTGCTGCTGATGTTGCTGTGGTGGCTGTCCAGGATGCATAGGAGGAGCTCCATAAGGTCCTGGTCCTCGTTGAGTCATGGTCGGTGACATGGGTCTATAGCCTGTAGCAGGGGATGCGCTACGATACAACGGTGATGGAGCCACACCTCCAGTAGGAGGTGGTGGCAAAGGTGCGTGCTGCTGCTGTTGTTGTGGTGGCCCATTGCTCATAGGCGCTCCTCCCATAGGAGCGTTTTGCATAGGAGCGGAATTGGGGAAAGGTGACATGATACGCTGAGGTCCAGCGTTAGGTGTGCTAGGTCTCTTGTTGGCAGAAGCAGGGGAAGCACGAGAAAGCATCGGTGGGTCATTCCAAGCGGGAATATCCTTGCGGTAGTTAGCTACTGACTCAGTGTTGGAAGGCGGAGGGGGCAGAGGAGCTGCCTGTGTAGGCTGAGTCTGGTAAGGGTTGTAAGGTGCTCCATAACTACCTTGCTGACCGTACGATGGTGTTTGGCTATGCGTAGGTTGGGGAGGCATGTAGCCACTGGTGGGTGCAGGCTTATAAGATTGGCTCTGTACGCCCGCATTCATAAGTTGAGGAGCAGCTTGGGGAGCATATGGGCTTTGCTGCTGCACTGGCTGAGCAGGAGTATAACCTTGGTAAGCGTTATTAGCAGGAGCAGTAGCTGGCAAAGGCTTATCATAACGCTGTGTCTGTTGCTGTTGACCAGCTGGAGCTGTAGAGCCGTATGCTGATCCATATCCGTAAGCGGCAGCAGCTTGTTGTGGTTGCTGCTGTTGGGCGGGTGGTTGTTGTTGTTGCTGCTGTCCAAGTCCACCAATGGGTAGAGAATCGAAGGGGAATGGTACGGGTCCTGCACGAGCAGCGTTGCCATCGGCATGATGAAGACGATCTCTAGTCACACTCAGGATATCCTCCTTTTCTGAACGGTAGGATTGAGGAATCAGATCAATGAAGTACAAAGCAGCAGTCAAGTTGCCTTGAGTAGCGAGGATTCTAGAATAGTCGCAATACTTGTCGTAAAGGGCGGACAAATGGAAGGACTGTCCAGGCTGAGCATCCATGTCAGAGTCAACAAAGTTGATAGCACTTCTGTAAACGGTCACCTTTTCCATAAGCTCATGGAGAGACTGAGCAGCAGGTTTGGATTGATCAGCTTCCTGATCAGCAATCCAGATTCCGACGACTTTGTGAAGCTTGCCAGCAGCAAGGTAACAGAGCTGAGCGTTTTGGATTTGAGCAGGAGAGTGTGCCTCTAAGCGCTGACCAAGGGTTTCGCAAAGAGATTCGAATTCGTCAACCTTGGCAAAGGTGCAGAGGATGACCATGACTTCACGCCAATCCTCCAAAGAAGCATTGATGACGATATCTTGGAGATCGTGATGAATGATGCCCTGGACAAGACGGAGATAAGGCGTCTTTTCGATCTGGTGTTCAAAGTAAACCTTGCGAGTACGGTTTAACAATTCTTCACCACCACAGACAGCAAACATCAAGGCATCAGCCCAACGATCCACACTCAAGCACATATCGACGGCCGAAGCAAAATCACCCAGGACTAAAGATCGGGTAATCAAAGAATCCACATCCGTGCTGCCTTCAGGATATATTTTGAAAGGCTTGGCGGCAGCTTTTTGCACAGGAGCTTGCTCCTCAACAACGGCTGGCTCGGTGGTATCCACAACAGGTGCGGCGGTGCTTCCAACCAAGAAGTCGGCTTCAGCACCAGACGATCCAGAAAATAAACCAGTCATCTCATCATTTGCTTCAGGTTGTTCCACTTCACTTGATTCTGGTTCAGTAGGGGCGGCTGCGGCTGGTTCTTCAGGAACAGCAGCCTCTTGAGCGACAGCCACCTCCGAGGATTCTATTTTGTCTGTGCCCTCACCGCTAGAGACTTTAAGCTGTGCAACAGCTTGTGAAATTTGAGTCAAGACTTGATCCTTATCGAAGCCAAGATCATTGACAAGGTGCTCGCGAACATTTTCCTTCATGAGAGCTTGAAGAATGGTCCAGCTGTCACCAGACACATGGTTTTGTGCGTATTCGGCCAATGTATTATTTTCGATGGCAGTTTGCAACTGTGAAACTCGTTCATTCAAGTCCTTGTCAAGAGCAATGTTGGTGATCTTGACGGTATGGGCAACACTGCGAGGATCGACAACGTTTTGGGGATCGGCATTGGCATTCTTCAAAACTGCGGCGTTATTAAAGCTTGTCAGTTTACCACCGTAGGCAAAAGTAGCACCGGCAGGACGACGAAGCCACTTGGGAGGATGCTTGAGATTAAGACCATCACCCTGTTGAGGAGCGAATGCAGCAGGGGCAAATGGATCATTGCTGACGGCTTCTTGAGCAAAAGCATCAGCGGGTTGCTCACGGCTAGTTCCTTGCAAGGAATGAATAGATATCTGTGGAAGAAAGAAAACATCGTTCAATATATGTAACTGAAGCGAGCGAGGACATACTGCGGAAATTAAGCATTAATGTCATACCTTGCCATCAAAGGAAGCAGACGCGAAGAAGTCAGGATTGGGATTGTACCAGTCGACCTCAAAAGTCCAGTTATGGCTAACGGGAAGCTCGCCAATGATTTCACCGGATCTAGGGTTCCAGCAAATCGTTCTAGAGTCTTTGCCAGAGGACAGCAACAGATCAGAATCCTTTTGACACCAAGAAAGAGACAAAACACCTTGCTGATGACCAGTGAGGGTTTTGACGGGGGCGTGAGCATTTCTCAAATCCCACATGGCAATGACAGGGTTTGAATCGTCCTCTGAGGCGGTTACAATTTGGGTTGCAACGTCTGGGCTCCAAGCAATGGATGAAATGCCACCTCTGACAGCAGGCAAGGCTCCGCCAGCATGTGCCAAAGCGACTACTTCCCTTCGGTTTCTCAAATCCCATACAACAGTATAGCCAGTATTGGAAGAAGTTGCCAAAATATGTTGGACTTGGTTGTTCCATGAAAGGTCGGTAATGGCATCTATTTTTTGCGACTTTGCTCCGGGCGAATATGGTTTAGAAGGATTGGTGAGATCCCAGATGAAGATCTATAGAGTGAATATGCATGGGGGTTAGATTTTCAGCGCGGTTGAAAAAGCGTGATGAGGTAAAAGTTACTTGCCTCTCCGTTGCCGGCAGCAGAAGCCATTAGATTAGACTGAAATGGATTGAACGACAATCCGCGAACCGAGCCAGTGTGCTGAGAGTTTTTGAATATAACAGCATCATCACTGTAGATATCAGGCATCAGTTGAAGGGGGAAAAAAGAAAATTATGCAAGGGCTTCGGTTGAATCCAGTATGCCATTACCTTCCATCCAATAATGACTTTGTATTCCAAAGGTTAAGTTCACCACCTTCCATACCACCAGCAATGACACCAGCATCACCGCCATGAGGGCTCCATGCAAGACGATTGAACCTGAGATGTCATGACAGATGGTTAGTACGACAGGGCCGTGGGACCCCTGTAAGGTCTCGATGATGAAGCGGATGGGCAGAACAAGTGTTACCTTGATGAGCAGCTGATCTTTGCCGATGGTTGCAACTCTAATTCTGGCGACTCCAAATCGACGGTGAAGAGTTCTAGGTCAGCATCATTGGAGAATGAAGCATCCATAGCTCCAGCTACTGTTCCGGTGGCGATCATGGGCAGATGGGTATGAGATGAGGAGAACCACGCCATGGTGGCGGTTCGATTGATCTCCTTCAGCTTGGGCATTGTTCAAAGTAGAGCACTATAAGAGAACCAAAAAGGTGTTTGACCAACGTAGTTTCAAGTCCAGGCAGCCAGCGCAGTCCAGCCAAATCAGCGCGTTAACGCAACCACGTATGATTCCCAAATCTGTTTGCAAACATGTTTCGAAACAGTGGGTCGGCAAGGGAACTTGGTTGTTTCGAAACACTCGCTCAGGTCGCAGGCGGAGACCCTAACTTTTTTTTTTTTTTACTGAAAGTTTCTCACTGGGAACAGTTATTTTAGATCAATTGCTCACAAGCATGACAAAGTGTTGCCGTCAATAAATGAAATTTGGTGAACACTTAAGAAAACAACGACTACCTCAATGGAGGTTCTTTTACCTTGACTACGACGGCTTGAAAAGCACTCTCAAAAAAACCACCGAGGAATGGGCTGACAAGGACGATCAGTTGTTCATTGACCGTTTGGTCATTGAACTTGACAAGGTCCATTCTTTTTACGCTCTCAAACTTGGTGAAACACAGCGTCGTATCCGATCCTGCCAACGACGAATCCAAACCCTCAGCATGTCCCAACACCCAGCTCTTTCGGAATATCTCTCAATTCAAAACGAAATCACTGATATTACCAGCGAAGTCCAGGAATTATTTTGGTATACTCGGCTCAATTACAGTGGGTTCATAAAGATTGTCAAGAAACATGATCGTTATGCTGATCATGTTCCAAAGCTACGGGGCCACTTCTTGACATTATTACACCATCGGTCGTTTTATAAAGCTGAGGCTTTTTCGCAATTAACGACGGAACTGGCAAAGCTATACGACTCAGCTCGAGTGAGTGGTCATCAGCCATTCAACGACTTTTCCACCATTACCCCACCCAACGTTATTACTCCCATTGTTCGTCAGCATCAACCACTTGTCTACAAAAACACTAAATATTGGGTCCACCCCGACAACATCATGGATGTCAAGACCCATATATTGAAGTATATGCCGCTGATTAGTCAGAACGCTTCTTCTTCACCACAAACCACCGGCGGTCCACCCTCCACACCTCCCAGTCTCATTACTGATTCGGTCATCGCACATGCCACGGAGGAACGCTGCAGCGACGAACTAATATCATCGGTCTACTTGGATGATCAATACTTTTCGTCGTATATGTCACGTGTGCAATTTTCGGCAGACCAACGAACCATTCGGCTGCGCTGGTATGGCAACGACACTCGCAATGTTCATGTTGAACGAAAATCCTATAATTACATTAATCAAGAACCTGTTGAAGGACTGCCAGCATCTCAGGAACAATCTGAAGAATCAAGTACAAAAGACCGACATACACTCAAAGCCAAAGCAGTTACAGAATGGCTTCGCGGAGACTGGAGTGTGAGTGAAAAATTACAGAAGGCACAACTTAAAAAGCAATCCAGTGGACTTGACTGGGTCATGGAGGATGACGATGACATGGAAATCGAACGACTTCGAAGTATTGCCCAGGATATTCAAGACATTGTGGTAGGAGATCAATTACGACCTGTGGTGCGGACGGTTTTTCGTCGGACGGTATTCCAATCACCTGATGAGAATGTTCGAATTTCTATGGATACGGACTTTGTTATGGCTCGTGAATTTGGATGGAACCATCCCGAGTCACCTATGGCGGACCCGTGGCGAAGAGATGATCTCACAGCACAGACGGCCGATGAAGATCAATACCTTGATATACCCAACGAACCTGCTCATCCTGACGATTACCATCGCTTTCGGTATGCCATTCTCGAAGTGAAGCTACGTACACCACAGTACCCTACCACCATGTGCATCGGCGATAACGATGAACCTGATTGCGTCAAAACTCTTGTGCGTGCCCGAATGATGGAGCCTATTCCTCATTTTTCAAAATACGTCCATGCCGTCTCAGTTCTGTGGGATTCCAAAGTCCCGTTATTACCATTTTGGGTAAGTTACGCTTTCTGAATATCGAATCCAAGCTTTTTGCCTTGCCAGTATTAACCCTTCCCTGACCAGCTTCCACAGCTTCAAGAAGGCGTGTATTGTCCCACAGGGATTCGATTACATCGCGCCTACCACTCCACGGCCGAGTCATGCGACACTGGCATGGACAGCCAAGATAGAAATCCTCCATTACAGCCCGATTTCTCCTTCCAACTACAAGCACCTCCCTCACGTCCCATGAATCAATCATTACATATTGCATCCTCTGTACCATCCATTACCAACGAAACCACGCCTTTGTTAACACTCTCTGACAACGAAGCACAGACCTCACGACCCACCATAGCACATTCTGTACGGCGATTGGTGCAAGCAGTGTACCCTGTTATTCTGCTTATCCTCATTACGGCCATCGCACTGGCCATAGCCGAAATCGAAGATCGAATGTTGGCAAACGTTCTTGGCGTCCTGGTGGCTGCCATGGCATTAGCTGGGTTTTGCCTTTGGATGTTTGTTTTTAAAACCTCTTTGACTCAGACGACCAGAGCAATGTGAAACCTCTTTTTTTTTGTTCTTTACAAATAATCACGTTAGTTATTGACCAATAAACATTGGTTTAACATCAATCTACTGGAAACCCGTATGTAAACATCGATGACCGCATTTCACTGCTGTTGATAGTTGCTGCTGTAGCTTTCAATCAGCTTGATCTGACACTGAAAAAACCAAGACATTACATACAAACTGGAAAACGGCCGAAACATAGTTTGCATGAATATGTGATCTCATTCGCATCAATTCCACGCTAGGAGAAAAAAAAAAAAAAAAAGAGTGTCATGCCATGAAATCAAATAAGTATCGCACACTGTCTCATGAAGAACGCATTAGATTTTTCTTTCTTCTATCTAATTAAAAAGCGCAAGCAACCTTGCCCACCGTATCTTTTATATAACTTTATCAATCTCATCGAACTATGTGGGGATCTGGATGGCTCGCTTCTTTTCTACTGTTTTGCGCATGGCTGCTTCAACTGTTCACCATCATTGGTGGTTTAAACAACCTGCCGTTCTTGAATGAAGCGTACTACACACGTGTACAGGCGAACAACCAAGCCGATCGATTTTACCTTTGGAACTCATGCTCGGAAAACCCTATTGACACTGTCTCTTCATGCGGCGCTCCGGTGGCTGGTTATCAATGGGGTAATCAGGCTCCATACAACACTGTTCCCGGTGTAACTGGTCATTCCAAGACGTTCTTTGCCTTGTCCGCCGTGACTTGGATCGCCTTTGGTATCACTACTTTGACGCTTCTCTCTTCTCTGATTACTCACTGCTGCTGTCGCCGTAGAATGTCATCACGATGGTTTGATTTCAATCATTTCTGGTGGGGTTTTATTGCTTGGCTCGCTCAATTGGCCGCCTTTATCTTGGCCATTATCTTTGGTACCCGTGGTGGAAGTCTCATTGAAAACAGCATTCCCAATTCAAGTTATTCATTGGGTCCCAGCACTTGGATGTCGCTTGGTGCATTCCTTGCACTGACTTTGAGTATGATGATGTTCTGCTGTGGATTCTGTCTGGCCAAGAAGAGAAAGAGGACTCAAACCGCAGATCAAGCCTATGATGATCAAGCTCAATACGCACAAACTAAGAATAGCCGTGGATGGTTTGGACGTAAGAAACAGGCGCCGGTTGAAGACCCAGAAATGGCTTACAACAGCACCGGTGCGTATAATGCTGGAGCCTATGACAACCCCACTGGAGCCAATACAAATGCCTATAATACTACTGGCACTGGAGCTTATGACAACCCAACTACCACTGGTTCCAATTACGGCACTAAAAATCACTCTAACCCGGCTGCCACTGCTGCCGTGGCTGGTGCTGCTGGTGCCGCTGGTGCTTATGGTGTGCATAAATACAACCAGTCAAATAATAATACTTCCACCGGTACTAACAACTACGACAACACCACGGGTGCTTATGGATCCAAGACTGGAAACTACGACAATGCTGCTGCTACTGGTGCCACCGGTGCTTATGGAGCTAATACTGGTAACTACGACAACACTGGCACTACTGGTACTACGGGTGCTTATGGATCCAATACTGGAAACTACGACAACACTGGTACTACTGGTACCACCGGTGCCTATGGAGCGAATACTGGAAACTACGACAATGCTGCTGCTACTGGTACCACCGGTGCTTATGGATCCAATACTGGAAATTACGACAACACTGCTACTACTGGTACTACGGGTGCTTATGGATCCAATACTGGAAATTACGACAACACTGCTACTACTGGTACTACGGGTGCTTATGGAGCCAATACTGGAAACTACGATAACACAACCGGTACATCGGGTGCTTATAACACTGATACGGGAGTTGCCGATAACAATTCCAGTGTTTATCACACTCCAGCTACCGGCTATGACAATGCCGCCAACGGCAGCACCACTGGCTACAAGACTGGCGGCACAGGCGTGTATGATAATCCTGCCGATGGGTATAACAACCTAACAGGTTATGACGGTACTGACGACAAAGTACGAGTGTAGGAGTAGCGTTCAGCTTGAAAGAAACCAAAAAAAAAAAACCAAAAAAAAAAAATGTTTTCCACGCTCGAGGATAACATCAAGAAAAAAAAACATATCTATAATATATTATATGCTACGATACTTTTTTTCTTTCTTTCATCCTCTTCTTTATGTCTGTTTGTTAAAAAAAAAAATACATGCTAATAATGCAATGGTACGATTTATAATAGTATAATAAACGTCGAAATTAATTACTTTCATGATGCCGCTAAACCAAATGATATCAACCGAGATTTCGGTTCTTCGACTTATGCCCGACTTTCTCCCAACACTCGGTTTGTCTATGATTTATCTGTAGCTTAGCAACAGGTCTCTCCTCGGAGCATATTTAGCCCATGCTAAATGCCAATGAGACAACCTACGAGACCCTACCAAAATGGGAGGGGGGGTGTCATATCGGAATGAATTCAAGACAATGAAGAAAAAAAAAATTTAATTGGAATTATGGTACAGGATAAACGGCAGGGTATGAAGTGGTATATATCGGCGACTAGGCGGATTGGACAGGCGGGGATGGAAAGGGGATGAGCAAAAGTCTACGATTTGTACAGTGTAAAAGAGAAGAAAGGGATTTGTAACCAAAAAAAAATTGAAAGCAAGTCAAGCCAGGTCTAATATCCAGCTCGCATTGTATCAGTCATCCAAGTAGATGGAGTGTGTCTAGCCGAAGGCACAGGATTGGACCAAGAATTCGATGTACGTCGTCGTTTCCTCGGTAACGCTGGTGAATCCGACGTTTCTACCACAGGTTTGGGCTGCGGAGGGGGGGTCATGAGTGCAGACTGCGATGCGTTATCGGTGTGAAAGGTGTTAGTGGCTGGAGGGTGTCGCGGGCTCATGAACGTTTCGGGGACCACTGGTCGGCTAATGGGCTTGGGTTCGAAGTTTGAAACAACCGGTTCATCGGACACAGACGAGATGGGAGATTGTGGTAACGAACAGTCGGTACGGTCTGCTTCATGGGTACGACTAAGAAGTTGATCAGCGTACTCCTGAAGATCTTCTACTCGAACGTAAAGATCAAAGTTGCACAAGAATAAGAAGTCTAGCTCTAGACGGTTGAGTTCGGCGAGCGGCAGACCTCCGACCTAAACAATTAAAGTTGAGTTGGGTTAAGCGGGGTGATAAGATAATAAGGATGACAGTTATTCCATGGCAACGTACCTTTGCATAGCGTGCATTGGCATAGAAGACATCCGATACAAATTTGGATGCAACTGTCAAACTGGATAAAGGAAGGGTTTAGTTAGCATCACACTGGAAGTAGATCATGGAATCCCTTCCAGCCAGGGCGGGATTAAACCGTTGGTATCACTTTTTCTTAACCAAAGGATAAACGGCAGCTGGTAGCTACTATTTTTTTTTTTTTAAAACCAAAAAAAGGAGTCAAGTCTAACCTGGTAATCAACAACCGATGGATATTGAATGAACTTATAACAAACGAGCTTTGGCGACGAGCAATGCGATCAAAGTACACCAAAATAGTAATGAGAATTTCATTGCTGAAAGGAGCAAATTTCTGGATGCGGTTCAGGTAAGCGTGGATAGGTATTTTGGGCACTGAACGTGAATGGAAATGGGTGACGACTCCTGGGGCCAACTTGTCGTTCTGAGCAATGATATTTTCTAGTAATTCAGCAACGATGCGAATGGTTTGTGCCGGAGGGAAGCTGATGATATCTAGATGTGAATGGAGGTCCTCCACGGCAGCACATATGGAGGGCCGTGGTGTCGAGGGTGAGGACGACGTCGTCATAGTGGGAAAGAAGAAGAAGAAGAAAGGTGGCAAGCGAGATAGGGGAAAATCAAGTTAAGCTGAGAGTTGGATTTAAATTGCATTCAACATTATTTTATCAGAACCCAATCAGAATGGAAAAAATGCACGGTTGTAGGGAAGAGGTGGAAAAGAAGAAGTGAAAATGCAATCAAGCGTTGCCAGATTTTAAACCACCTTGAGTCAATGGCTGAATGCCAGTTTAAGACCTTGTGGTTGGCTCACCACTTGCAACCCTAAATTTTATCGCCGCACGTGCACTCCACCTCTTGAACGTGGAGGCCTTCGCTCGCTAGTATTGGCCATCTTTCAGCTCCGACTCATAGCCAATCAATCCATGCAAGCCATAAAGAATTAGAACAAGCGCTTTATATGTGCAATGTACAAAAAAAACTAACAGAAAGAAGAACATCATTCTAGTACTCGGGCGGCAATGAAACACCCGGGTTTAACAAAGGGGAGGAGAAGACGCTATTTGTGATATGAATGCAATAAACATGGCCTCGAAGAAATAGATAGATTAATCCCTACGAATGGGGTAGCCTACTACTGTAGAAAAGAATGGTTTGGGTTATAGCTATGGCATAAGAGTTGTGGAAAAAGAATTATTTGTTCTTGTGAAGTTCAACTTCTTCACCATAGACAAACACTCTTTGGATTTCCAGATCATCGTTCAGGAACAATAAATCAGCATCGCCTCCAGGGTTCAATGTACCCTTGCGATCAGAGATGCCAAGAACTTGAGCAGGGTGAAGGGTAGCAGCTTCGATGGCCTCGACCATAGTACACTTTGTGAAATTACGGAAATTGCGCACGCTTTGATCGATTGTAATGGTGCTATGGAATAAAAATAAAAATACAAATACGTGCATTAGCAAATCAGCATCTCCACGTTGTCCCCCCTTTGGCAGACCCCTCAATTTACCTTCCAGCCAATGTATTTGTTCCCTTGATGTAGGCAGCACCATTGTCATCGACTTCGACATCTCGTCCACCCAGAGAATAAACACCTCTTGGTAAACCGAGCGCTGACAAGGCATCGGTGACCAGCACACATCCCTTGGGATGAGCATAATAGGCAATACGGACAGAGTTAGGATGAACGTGGACACCATCGACAATCAGGCCATAAAAGGGGCGAGGGTCAGGCTTGTTTCTGTAAGGAGATGTGTTGCTAGCGGCTGGGTGGCGGAGTGGGTCTTCTGGCACTGGCAAATCCACTGCTCCCAGAACACCAATCATACCAGGATCTCTGTGATGGAACTATAAACAAACACAGGAGTTAATGACCACCGATGTGGGTGCTCCAATCAAATTAGAAACAAAACTTACCGGCAACATAGCGTTGAACAAGTGAGTGATCAACGTAGCACCTTTGGTGACGGCTGTTTCAGCTTCAGAGATGGTAGCAGCTGAGTGACCAATGGAGACACAGATATCACGCTTAGCCAGCTCTGGGATGACATCGATCACACCTTCAATTTCGGGAGCGACAGTAATGATACTGACAGCTTCACTGCCCTTCATGAGCTCGGGTCCATAAGCTTCATCGAATTCACAAATACCGTTTTTACCGGTACGGAAGATGGCTTGGTTATGAGCACCTTTCTTTTCATGTGAAATGAAAGGTCCTTCAATATGAGCACCCAGGATTTCCGAACCCTTCTTCGCATCACCCTTTCGCTTGTTGAGCAATGGAAGAACCTATAAAAAAAAGAAAGATCAACGTTGTGATGTGAGTATAAGGTGATGTTTCACAATTCGCTGACCTCGCCCGTGGACAGAAAGCGTTTTCTCGGCCCCAACATTCTTTACCTTGTTGTACACCTCAGGAGCAGAAGAAACCACAGTGGGACAGAAAGCAGTGCATCCGTATTGCAACAAACCCTTAGCGACGGTGTTAATATCGTCTTGAATTTTCTCTAGGGAGCCCTCGTTGTCGGCAAAATCAATGCCGTAGCCACCATTGATTTGGATATCAAGGTATCCGGGAACAACCAAAGCACCCTTAGCGTCAATGATTTCGTCAGCATCGCGATGCTGGTCGAAAAAAAGGTTTTGCGGGTGGATAATCTTGCCGTCTTGGAACCAAAGGTAGGAATCTTGCACAATCTTGTGGTCCAAGAGCAGACGAGCATTCACAATCTTGGAGATTTTGGAACTGCTTGCGGTGGCTACCATGTTGAAAGGGATTGAATAGAAGTTAGGTAAAAGGAAGTTGGGGTTAATAAAAAAACAGCTGGTTAAAAAAATATCTCAGACGGAAAAGGGTCCCGCTTACAAAAAAAAAAAAAGAGCCGGTCAGCAGAAACATCGCTTCTGATTGGATCATTCCATTCACCGACGTCACCAGGACCCTGATCGGCGTTTCAATCCAAGCGCAGTGTAACACCATTTCAAAAAAAAAGGGTTCAACTTGACTTTTCGTGCTGTTGCACACATCGATAATCCCTTTTTTTTTTTTCCACCGACCTTTCAATCATATCGCTGTATGTTTATTACAGGTGTGCAAAACCGAACAAGAAATGGATAAGATGGGTCTCAGGAAAGAAAACAAACCAAGTTAATTTTTTACGAACGAAGACTGCAAAGGGTTTTTTTCAATCTCCATTTTTTTACTATGTATAATGGCCCCTCTCTGTCGTTGGAAAGATCAAGATAAATCTTTGGATCCTTTTGGATTTCTACTCTATGGACCACCGCCGCTTTCGTCGTACATGCCATCGGATCGTCCGTGGACAAGATGATGTTGTGCCATGCCTGGGTAATAGCCATATGGAGGCATCACTTGCATGCCAGGGGGGTACACGTTGTTGGCCATAGGGTAAGAATAGAGAGGAATCGATGGCGTGGACGGTGGGTACGGCGGAGATCCATAGGCGGCTGCATTTATATACTGTTGTGGTGGCGGTCCACTTGGTGCCACGATCGGCGAGTCTGTTGTGTAGTTGCGGTTATTGGTTGGACTATACCGAGGCGATGTGTTCTCATTCAAAAGGTTATCCACTTCATCCCACAGTCGTTTATACGCTTGTCCACCATTCGATGTGGGGGGTGTCTGCAGCGCCAAAATCTGCTTGACTTTCTCCGCTAGATATCGTTTTGGCTTGCTCTCCACCGTAGTACTGCTCAAAATCTTGTGAATCATGTTCATGCCTAAGCTTGAATCTGCTAATATATCTCGAAGCACTTGATCATGATCATCATTGGCAAGCGTATTGAGGAGCACAAGCTGAGCTTCAATTTCTTGCCGCTGGTTGATCACCTTTAGGACGGCAGCCGATGACAGTTTACTCGTGCACATGGCACTCATGTACGGAGCAATGCGAGGAGCAAGAATGTTATAGCGTCTGGGCAAGCCCGACGTATCCAGCAACCACGTCATCAATAGAGCCCCATTGGGGTTCCCTCCCAGAGAGAAAGCATTGGCCACAATGGCAGAAGCTGCATATTTCTACCGGTGAAAAGTGTAAGTAACGGCTGCGTTTGGGGGAGGGTCCATTTGGAAACTTACCTTTTGACGCATAGAGATATGAGCGCTTTCGAGACTAGCCCGAATCGCTCTGGCTCCAAATCGCCCTTGAGCAATCTCTCGAGTCTTATCGACAATAGCATCAAAAATGAATTGATTATGGATGGGACCAAGCCGCAAGCAGCATTGAACCACATAATTGCCAAACTGGTCCAACATCAAAGGCGGTACAAAAGGTTGGATATGTCCACAGATGATCTGCATTTGTTCGTCCGTACTGGCCGTGTCAATGATTTTCTGTGCCGCCCACGTTCCATTTTTATGGACGCCGATAGTAGCCAAATGAGGGGCAATGGGTTTCAACATCTCAACCTTGGTGGCCTCTGAGCAACGTTCGAAAAGTTTTTGTACAATGGTATTACCGATGTAGTCTGTCAAGTCCACAGTGTCAGTTCATTCGGCTAATGTAAATTCAAAGCGAAACAAAAAATTACTGACCACTGCTTAATTCAACAATGTCATCCATACATTCCTCAGCGATAGCTTGCACCTCCTTTGCACTGGTATGAGAATTATCCAACTTCTTTCGAAGCTCGCGTAGTCTAGGAGCATCCAGCTTTCGACTGGGGTTGGCTTCGGTAATAGGTGGTATAGAGGTACGATATTTGCATACAGTTCGATTTTCTAAAAATAGCAAGGTTAGATGGTTTCGTTTCTTAGAACAAAAGTCTTCTGTCTTTCCATCTTACCTATTTTGAAAACGGGACCATCATCTGAATCCATGCCAAACTCAGTCATGATAGCCATGATTTTAGACAGGTTGGAAGGCTCCATTGTTTCCGGTGAGGAAGACTTGGCATGGGAACCAGATTCAGGGTTTTCTCTAACAGTATCTATGGTTCGCTCTTGCTTGGACGACGAAGCAACCGAGGCTTGGCCACCGGGAGGGGAGACAGATGATGCCTCTTCCATGGCTTTCTGCGTGGTAGCTTTGGCAAAGCCAATGCGGACAGCGCCTGTGCCGGAGCCCAAGACTTCCTTGTGCTGCAAAGCCTTCTTGGCAGCCATAGCGCTTTCTACGGTATCAAAGTTGATGAACCCACAATTCTTGTGAGTGAGAACACGCGCCGATTCGATGTTACCGAATGGGCTAAACAAACTATGTAGTTTGGCTGATGTGGTATTGGGAGGGAGACTTCCAATCCCTGTATGTAAAAAAGAGAAAGAAAAAAAAAAAAAGTTGAGTATTTTTTGTGTAGGTGGAGGGCTATGATCATGTCACTTACATAATGCTCTGGTGGGTTGAAGTACGCTAGGGTCAGCAATGCCTGCTTCGATTTTTCCAAAGCCGACTCGCACCACACATTGACCCACACGGCCATTCAATCTGCCCAAAACCTCATCTTTGGCACGAACAGCGTCTTCCACATTAGAAAAGTTGATAAAGGCACACTCTTTGTCAACCAAAAGCCTTAAGCTTTCAATAGGACCGAACGGAGAGAAGAGTCGCTGCAAGTCCTCCTCGGAGATGGAAGAATCGATATTACCAATCCAAAGTGATCGTGTAGGGGTTTGGGCATTGGCTTGAGCTTGGGATGGCAGTAACTGAGATCCATAGCTGGAACCATAGGTGTAATTCTAAAAGCACAAGTGAGTTAGTTAAAAAAGAAGGAAAAAAAGTCTAGCTTCCATGCTGCTGCGTGTATGCAGCGATGTCTATACCTCCTCAGTTTCCGAAGCCGTATCTTGGCCATTATTCATCATACGACTCAACAAATCAGCATCCCCAAGTGAAATTTGAAGGTTGCTATTGCCTTGAAAATCCTCGAGGTCTTCCTCGTCCAACGTCAAAGCGTCATGGCGTAGAGTGGAAGCCTGCTGGCGGGAAAGGTAAGCATCATTGGCAGCAAAATCGGCCATTCCCAAGCTCACGGCTCTGGTTCTGTTTTGTGAAGTAGGGAAATACTGCACGGTATGTTCCGACATAAGATGAACGGAATCTTGTAGTAGAGGATCTTCGTACTTATCGGTAGCATTGACCGAATAAGAGCGATAGCGATTGCTATTCATGATGGGCTTAGGAGGTAGCTCCACAGGTAACCTTAGGTCATGGTTGGTGGTTGAGCTGGAGTTCGCCTGCGAAGATAGCTCAACTTGCGTTGCAGAGGTATTTTTACGATCGTCATCGTCCAACCCCAATGACATGAGAGTTCGGACTATGGAATCGGAATTATCTTCACGTAACATTTGATCGGTAGTAGGGGTCAAAGGGGCATTTCCATAGGCTAAAGCTCTACTATGATCTGACCAAGACGTACTAAAGATAGGGTTACCAAAGGCAGACGAAGACGATAAAGAAGGCTTGGGCAGTGTAAGCGACCCTGAGCGATGACGCGATGCCAAGGTTTGCTCAGACAGCAAAGATGAGGTGGTGAAAGAAGAAGAGTTGGAGAGTGATTCATTGAAGGAAGGAGGAGGTCCTATAGGTGCGTATGGAGAGATGGATGACTGAGACGGCATAGTCCCCGCACGAGCTCGTCTTGGCTGAGCAAAAGAGGAAGCCGCGGCGGTTGTCGTGGCGGCCATGGAATCCAACGTCGACGAATAGGATAACGCCGTATACGCTTTGGACTTTGAATTTTCCATGGATCGCTTAAGAAAGCCCAATGAGCTGGTGGGGGTGGTGGGATCAGTTAATCGCAATGACGTGGAGGCATTCTGAGGCGGAGAGGTAATGCGAAGTCGGTTGAAGGCGGGCTCGTCCTGCGTCATATTGAAAAGAACGGCGTTCGTTCAGAGAAGCAGTAAAGAAAAAAGACTGGGGAGGCCCTCAAACAAAGTGTGCAAAGAGAGAAAAACAAGGTCCAAAGGAGGTCAGGGCGCGGCCTACCTTATAGGGGAGCGGCTGCTGACCGGCGTAAGGACCTGAAGTAAAGAAGTAGGACTCAAGCCGTGGCATTTTATTAAAGAAGTGTGTATTGAAAAAGGCTGATTTTTATTCAAAGGATGTATGTACGTAAAGCTATTCAACCCACCACGCCTTGAGTGCCAGCGATGATATCTTCTGATGCCACGCTGCGCCAAAGGGCGGGGAGAGACAATCTGCACAGTTTATCCATAACAGGCTGAGTGTCATCACAGTCACGTGCGACGTAGAGGCAATTCCACTGCTCTTTCAAATTTTATTTTTTCAAAGAGACAGAAAATCTACTTCTCTCATCTCTGTTGCTATGACTGACCATCAGCACTCTGAAAGAACTCCCCTGCTTTCACCCAATGCCTCTGGCCAAACCACGCCTGTCAATTCTCGAGCTCCATCCACTCGTTCTTGTGTCAATGACAATTCCAAGGATAACAATACTACCAATTCCACCAAGTGGCGGCTCCTTTTTGCTACGGTGGTAGCATTGCTTTTCTTTGTGACTGAACTGGTTGCTGGTTATTTCGCTAATTCTCTTGGTAAGGTTTATTCATTCTAGCAATTGTCCCACGATTGCATGCCTTGGGTTACTTATCACAAAAGCCCGACCTTTCGGGGCTCTATCCTTTTTCAGCGCTGATGTCTGACGCCTTTCACTTGCTGTCTGACGTTGCCAGCTTCGCCGTTGCCCTTGCTGCCATTTACTTTGCCGAAAAGCCTGCCACTCGCCGTAAGTGAATAGTCACTGCAGTAAACTGTTGGATCACTCTTTTTTAACTGTTCTAAATTTAGGCCATAGCTATGGTTTCCATCGAGCAGAAGTCATCGCAGCTTTAGCCTCTGTGTTGACCATTTGGATTTTAACCTTTTATCTGGTTCAGGCTGCTATTGAACGTCTTCGCAATCCCGAACCCATCAATGGAAAATTGGTAAGTGGATAAGCAACTTGACCGGAAAATATTAATGGAATGGGTTGCCTAACCATACGACCCAGATGTGCTTGACTGCTTCCATTGGTGTAATCATCAATATTATGTAAGTCATTAATACTTTTTTGGGGAAATTTTTTTGCTTTGTTCGCTGACAATTGGCTCTGCAGTCTGGCTGTTGTCTTAGGTGGACATGGACATAGCCACGGTGGCCATAGCCACGGATCGGATCATGATCACTCGCATGCCATTGAAGACGGTCACCATCATGAGGAAGAAGGTGCATCGAAGCACTCTGCTAAGCAGGTGAGTTTAGCCTGCCTTGAAAATTACCTTCATCCGATTTAACCGTTTGCTGATGCCACCTTTTCCCAATAGGAATCTAACATCAATTTGAGAGCCGCCAGTTTGCACGTATTGGGCGACCTTCTAGCATCTGTTGGTGTACTTATATCCTCCATCATCCTCATCTTCCGCCCTGACCTTACCATTGTCGACCCTATCTGCACATTCATCTTTTCTATCCTCGTCATGTATACAACCTATCACCTTGTAAAGGATTCATTGGCTGTGTTGATGGAAGGCACTCCTTTGAACATCCAGCCAGAGGCCATTGAGCGATCTATCCTTGAAATTCCAGGAGTGGTGGCTGTTCATGACCTGCATGTGTGGAACCTTTCCCCCGGCAAAAGCTCCCTCACCGCCCACATCACCTTCGACAAGAATGCTTTGCATAGTTACGATGAAATTTTATACCAAGCCCAACATGTCGTCTGCGACACCTACGGTGTCCACCACTCCACTTTGCAATTGGAAAGCGATGCTACAGGGTTTACAAGCCATTGCCGACCCGATCTATGTACCCCTGCCGTCATCCACCAATAATCTCGTTACTCCCTCCCCTTAACTCCATGCTTATCCAACACTTTGGCCTCTGTCCCCACTTTTCATTCTCATCATATTCTTTTCTTATTTTCATCTTCTCTTTCCATAGACTCCTACACTGCGCCTTGCTTTTTTCGCTTGTATCATTAAAAGAAACATAACATCTGTTGGAGATAACATATTGACTATATCATTTACAAAAAGTTGGCTTGCAAAAATGGTTGTGTTGGTATGATGAACATGAGTGGATATAGAAGTAAAACTGCTACATAACCAATAGATTAAAAGAAAGTAGTGTAAGAATTTACAAATGCGGGGTTAGATGGGTAATAACTAGCAAAATGGAAATTGCGTTCTGGTATTATCCGAAGGCGTTGCGTCGGTTCCTTGCTATGTGACATGGGTGGATGTCAAACTGCGGTAGCGGTGAATGCTGATGAAAGGGTGTAAACGATATTTTGGCACGGTCAAGACACTGGCAAGTTTAGCTGCTGTCAATCGAGGGCAGTCATGTCACATTCAGCCAGCAGTATCGCCATTTTGGTTTCCTTCTAAGCTATTATCGACATCCTCTACCCATTTCAAATCCTCGGCTGTTTGCTTGGCCCACTCTTCCATCAACACTCCTAAAGCAAATAAAGCGCTCCGCCGAAATAATCCATGGGTTAAACCCTCATGTTGCTTAAATAACCGATTGGCTCCAACCATATGGATACCATTGAGAAGGTCGATCGACGGTAGCTCCACTTGCTGGTCTTCCACTCGTTCCGCTAACTCATTGACTCCCTTATTCACCATAACGCCTAGGTCAAGCATGCCAAAACCGTCAGCTGACGAGGAAAAATAGGCGATTTCAATTCTAATACAATATGCTTACCATCTTTCGCATAAAGATAAGGATAGGAGTAGCCGTGAAGAGTGCTACAGGTCCAATGACTCACTTCTTGATGGAGTTCGACTGGTTCGACTTTGATCCTCACTGGCTTTTGTTCTTCTGAGGGCCATGACGCAGGATCACTGGAAGAGGTGCCTGGTTCAGCTTTCACCTTTCTACGTCTTCTTGGTTTGCTGGATTCCGTCAACGGATCTGTTGTATTTCGCTTTCTTCCTCGCGGCATGGTGAATGATGGGTCGAGCGCTGGGGATT